CCTCCCTCCCTCCTCCCCATGCCTCACCGGGCCCTGGCGGGCCCCCCTCCCAAGTCCCCGCACCGCGCCCGCGGCGTCGGCTCGCCTCCGTTTCCGGATTGCTGGCTGGCTTACTTACACGCACACCCGTCACGGCGGCCGAGCTCGCACCAGCAGCAGCAGCAGCGGAAGAGCTGGCCCAATTTTTTACGTGCGTGCTTGGGGCACGCAGCGCACGCGCGACAGACGCATGACGCGGGAGCGTCGTCTTCCAGGGAGCGCTGCCGAGGCGAGACGAGCCAAAAGGACGATTGAGACGCGCGACCAACAGGCCGCGACCAACGGACAGCGCAGGATAATGAGGCAGGCAGGTGAGCAGCCCTCCACTGGCGGCAGCCTGGCAGGGGCTGCGGTACGGGCACAGGGCGGCAGCATCGACAAAGACTCGACGAGCCCGCGGGATTTGTCGTGCATTCGAGACACTCGAGTTCTTTGATGGGCATGTGGCTGCAACGATACCACTACCCAACTACGTACTCTGCGTCCCGGAGGGACAGACAAAAGGCGACGTGAGGGGAGGGAGAGGGCACGACGGGCGAAAGACAGACGCACGGCACTGAGCTCAGACTCCGAGAAGGCGCGCGACAAACAAAAACGTCGAGCGACGAGGAGCAGCGGCTGATGCGGACGCGCCGGCTGCTGCACGGGCCCTGGCTGAAGCTCCGCGGGCCATGAATCCATCCATCCATGCCGCCGGGCTTGGGGGCAACCGGCATGGCGAGAGCAGTGGGGGAGAGCGAGAGCACGCACAGCAAGCAAGCAATCAGCTCAACAGCCACCCCCCTCCCCCCTCCGTCCCGCCGGCGGCGCTCAGTGGCTGCAGCCCGCCCAGCAGCAGCCGCCGTCCAGCCCCTTTGGCGCAAGCCTGCCTGGGCCGCTGGAGGACGGCCCCTTCCAGAGACGCCCCGAGCTCCGACTGCAGCTCCCGTCCAGGTGGGAGAGCTCCAGCGGCGGGGACACCCCCAGCAGGCAGCATGATGAAGCGAACCGCGGTGCGATTGGCACAGTAGCTCATCGATGGCCGTCCCAGCCACCACCGGGGGCGACGCACGCGCAGACGGGACGGGGCCTTGGGGGCATGGGGGACCCTCCAATTGCGTGCGAGAGGTTGCATACGGGCGCTCCAGGTAGGCAGGGTGTCGAAAGGCAGAAGGTTTGGCGTGCGCTGAGCACGAACAGGTTCCAGTCGGCGGCAGGTTCCAGTTCATGCTGGCTGGGCTGGGCTGGGCTGGGCTGGGCTGGATGGATGGATGGATGGACGATGAGGACTCGAGGAGGAGGAGGTGCCCACTCCCTCCCTCTCACTCCCTCTGGCTCGCTCGCTCACTCACTCACTCACTCACTGGGCAACAGGTTGTGTACGAGTACCTCTGCCGGCACCACGCCCACGCAACCTGGGCAGCACGCACAAGCTGCTGGCCGACAAGGCCCACGCCCTCCCCGTGCGCCCAGCGACGCTCTCACTCTCTGTCCGTCCGTCTGGGCCCCATGGTCCCCCTCCTTGGACGTCTCCCTCTCTCTGCCTCTCACACTCTCCCTCCCATCCCTCCGTCTCCCTCTCTTTCTCTCTCTCTCTCTCTCTCTCTCTCTGTCTCCGTGGCCCCCGCCTCCACTCCCTCTGCAGTACCGCATGTACGCCCACAGCTCTGCTGATTGAGGCTGACGCGACCTCGAGCCAGCTAGCCCCAGCCCGCCGCGCCCGTACCAGTGACATCCGACGCCGCAGAGCATCCCCGTTGCCTCTTGACCAAGACGAGCTGTCTGTCCTCCGCTGCCCTCCCACATTCTGCCGTCTCCTGGTCGAGCCCGTCTCAAGTACCGGATACCACGACCGTTAGCAGCCGCTGTAGTCCCTCTGCGTAGCTTGTAGCCTTGCCTTTGCCTCTGCCTCTGCCTTTGCCTCTGCCGTTGCCCTGCCCTGCCCTGCCTCGTCTTGCCGCCGCCGCGCCCCCGTCCGTCTGCCCTCCCGCCCAGCTCGCTGGCTCGCTGGCTCGCCCGCTCCCGCTCACTCTCCTCTCTCGGTCCCCGTCCCTCTCCTTTCCCTTTGCCCATAAATACCTGGCCTCCCGTCACCCGTTTCCCTCCCATACCATCCCAGGGCCCTGTTGTAAGATAGGCAGCTTCCCAGACGCCCAATTGCTGTCACCCGCACCACCTACACGCTTCACATCCCCCACACCCACACAGCAATGTCTTCCCGCAAGAGAAAGCAGGACGAGGAGGAGGAGGAGCTGGTCTCCCTCCCCGAGGACGACGATGGTGAGGAGGAAGAGGAGTGAGTGCCTTCTTCCCTTGCCCCAAGACAAGACAAACCCGCGCGTTGCCTCGATTGTCCCGGCGCGGCGTGTCATTGTGCGGAATCATGGGACGCGCAGCTCCCCCGGCGCATCCATTGACTCGATCGATGCTATGCGCCAAAATCGACCATGGGGGCCCCACGCTGACGACACACCCACCCACCCTAGGTACATCTCCACCGGCGACGAGGAAGACGTCGAGGAGGATGAAGAGGACGAAGAGGAGGAGGGTGACGAGGAGGACGAGGAAGAAGAGGGAGACGAGGCCGAAGGCGGCGATGACGCTGCCGAGAAGCCCAAGAACGGCGTCAAGGGTAAGCTACTCTTCTCAACAGCTTCAATCGCATCGCTAACAGGCTGCCCTGCCGTCGCAGACGACGAGAGACCACCCGTCAAGAAGCGCAAGACGGCCGACGCCTCGGCCGAGGAGGTCCCCAACGGCGACGCCGACGAGGACGTGGACGCCGAGGAAGAGGAAGCTGACGAGGGCGCCGCCGCGGAGCCCGCCAAGGACGCCCCCGTCAAGGCGACCGAGAAGCCCGCGGCCGAGGCAGAGGCGGAGCCCGAGGCCGTCGCGGCGGGCGGCGACGACGAGGAGGAGTGATGGGCGGGAGATGCTTGGAGGCGACGACGACGCGGCGCGTAATTGTGTGCCTGCGAGTATGCATTGTGCGCCTGCGTCGCGCTCCAGTCGCGTTGTGGCGCGCGCCTTGCCTCGCTTCGCCTCCTCACGATGCGCCCGCGCGCCGCGTGGGACATGGGATCGGAAGCAGGAAGCCGGAGTCACGCGCAGAGGGGGGGCTTTCGTCATGTCATATCATGCCATGCCATGTCATGCCCGTGGCGTACTGTACCCAACCCATCGCTACCTACGAAACCAGCCAACCAGCCATGTGAGCCCCGTCAAATCTACCTACCTACTACCATCCTACCTGACCATGTTTGATGCCTTGCCCACACGCTGCGGCTGCTACTCCCCGGCCCTCTTTGTTGTGATGGGAGTAATTGATCGCGATGCCCGTGCTGTAGCTTGAATGGTTTCTTGAACTGTGACTTGGCCAGTATTTTTTTGATGAATGGAGTCCACGGACCGCGGGCCGGCATGGCATGGGCCGCGCCTTGATTCGCCCAAAGTGACGTGCGTCGCGCGTCCTGCCCGCTGCCGCTGCCGCGCTGGTGGTGGTGGTTGCGGCCGTCGATGTGCCGCTATCCCTTTCATCCATCCATCCATCCATCCAGCCGTTCATCCATCAATCCATCCATCAATCAATCTGGTCGTTGTCCGTTCACTCATCAATGTGTCGCCTCACCGCGTCGCTCTGCAGTCTGCATCGCCGCCGCCTTCGCCGCCGTGACCAGGGACTCCTTCTCTACATACTACGTATCTCTCAATTCCGCGGCGGTGCAGCTGGCTCCTCCTCGTCGCGCAGCAGCAGCTTCCATATCTGCGCAAAGGGCACCAGGCCCAACCGCCGGGCGACGGCCTGCGAGGCGGCGTTGTCGGCGCTTGTGCTGTAGAATAGTGTCCGCGTCTGCTTCCCCTTCTGCGTGCCGCCATCACGATCGCCGCCGCTGCTGCCTCCGCCGTGAGCGGCCGCTCCGCCGCCGCCGCCCTCCTCCTGCTGCTGCTGCATCATCATCGTAACCGCCCAGGCGGCCACCACGGCGGGCGCGATGCCCTGCCCGCGGCGCGAGGGGTGCGTCCATATGCCGGCCTCGGAGGCGGAGGCGGTGAGGCGCGCGCAGAAGCAGATTGATATGGGGGTGAGCAGCGCGGGCGGCTTGCTGTGATTGCTATGTTGGCCTCTGTGGTTGCTGCGCTGCTCTCTGTGATTGCTGTTTTTCGAGTTGTCCGCGTCTGCGTCTGCGTCTGGGTGACTGTTCGCGTCGGCGTCGCTCGCAACGACGGCCATGGCCCAGGGTCCGAGGGCGCCGGCTAGGAGGTCGGTCCACTCGCCGGGCTGCCAGTTCTCCGGGCGGGCGAGCCGCGGCGGTGCATCTTCATCAGCAGTTACCGCCGCCGCCGCCGCAGCAGCAGCAGCAGCAGTAACGGCGGCGGCGGTAGTACGTATGTCGTCTGCGGATGTGATGATACGGACATCCGTGGGTAGAGGCCACGACGAGCGCGTGTAAGAGGCAGAGAAGGATGCCGGAAAGACGTAGCTCGGCCCGTGTGCTACGCACCGCTCCGAAAGGCCGAGGGAGAGTCGCAGCCGCGTGATAGACGAGGGCGGTTCCTCATCGTCGCCGCCGCCGCCGCCACCGCCGCCGCAGGACTCATGCGAGGATAACGGAGGAGGGGAAGGGGTTTTTTCCGGACGGAGACGTTCATGGTAGCCGGCGGCGATGAGTGATGGGGACAGCGCAAGGACGGAAGCGCAGGGGTGGTGGTGGTGCAGGGCGTGGACGGCTTGCACGGCGTGCAGGTCGGGGGCGAGGAGGGCGGGAGGAGAGACGGAGCGGTCGAGGGTGAAGATGGCGTCGAGTTCGGCCTCGAGGAGGGGGAGGATGTCGGCGCGGGGTGTAGCCATTGATTGGACTCCCGGGGTGATGCGTGCTTGAGTGAGACAGTGAGGCTATCACGAGAATTGGCACTCGATATGCAATATCGAAAGAAGTTGAGAGGCCCCTGGACTATGATCCATCGACGTAACCGCGAAACGACTGAGGCCGCGTGGGGAGAGGCACGATTGACGAAGTGCCGAGTCTCTGGCGAGGGCCTTTCATATGCAGTAGCTGCCAAGTGAGTTGTTTGCGAACTCGCCGGCACCATTCAAGTCGGCTGCTTGGTCGGTTGCACGCCCCGAGCGGGGAACCGGTCGGAGATGCCGGCCGCGGGGGTCGCATCGGCGTCGGGGGCCGGGCGAGTGACGTCTTATGCGCAGCAGCAGCCAGCAGCCAGCGTCGTATAACAAGAGCGACGTGCCATCCGCGCCCTGCGCCGTGATTTCTCCTCGCACCACTCATCCACCTCACATCCCCTCCCCTCGACACTCACCCCGACCTCACAACGAAGACGCAGCCTCTCTCTTCATCGTCATTTACAACTCCCACCCACCATGGCCGACGCACCTCCGCCCCCCCGCCAGCCTCTCGCCCCCGTCCAAGACATCGACCACCTCGTCCTTACCTGCGCCTCCATCCCCGCGACGCTCACCTGGTACACCTCCCACCTGGGCATGCAGGCCACGAGCTTCGCCTCCGAGGCCGACCCGTCCGTGACGCGGCACGCGCTGCGCTTCGGCACGCACAAGATCAACCTGCACCAGCGTGGGCGGGAGTTCGAGCCCAAGGCCGCCACGGCGCTGCCCGGCACCGCGGACCTGTGCTTCCTGATCGATCCCGGCGTGGACCTCACGGCCGTGGCGTGCGGTTTCGCGGACGTGGGCGTGGAGGTGCTAGAGGGGGGAGGCGTGGTGGGCAGGACGGGGGCGAGGGGGAGGATTAGGAGCGTGTATGTGCGGGATCCGGATGGGAATCTGATTGAGTATGTGGCCTTCTTTTCTTCTCATCTCTGTGCTTCTTCTTTTGCGATTTCGTGGTATATGCGTACGGCTGGTGTGGTGTTCTTGGCTAACTTGCGGATAGACTGTCGCAGTACGTCGAACAATGACGTCGACTTGGTGCTCATACGTAGGGCCACTGCCACGGGACGCCTCTCACGAAGCCGCCATAAGGGACGCCTGATCTGAGATCAGATAGGGCAAGGGTTCAACCGATGCAAACTGCCCAGGTACCGGAGGGCAGCTAGAGTAAAAGACCGCATCTCTGAACGCTCTCCGTAGTCGTCGCGTCATCGACAAGCAGTGCGTATATTACCATGCAGGTTCCAGACCATCAACTACATATGCAACACCTCATAGGAGTAAAGAACAGTCAGAACCAACTCAGCCCTACGTGCCGTAGCTCGAAACGACGTCCTTTTCGAGCCATGGTGTATTGTTCCCCGGCCAGAGCGGATCCAAAACCCGGCAGGCGACACAGAAGCCGGCCGGTGCCAAACGCCACCGTTGTGGCCTATCCGTTCGGGACCGGGTGGGTAGTGGCTCGGGAGTCGGGGCCCCCGTCGAAACGATGCCCTTTGTCTGGCACTGGCGGCGCCGTCCATCTGGCCTCCCATTCGGGAACTGTGGTGGGTGGCGGCTCGCGGTATCCGGGCTGACAAGCCGCCGCAAAGTTAATCGCCCGTGGTCCGGGGATGGCAGCTTCAGCTCTGGTGCCCGACCGGCTTCAGCGAAAGGTGAGGTGACGGGCCATGAGCGGCTGGGCAGATACAATTGACTGCTTCAAAGGCTGGCAGAAAATATATGTAGAGTACGTGACGTCCTCGTTCCGTGACCGGCAGCTGTGTCCTGGCGTTGCTGGATTGTCGCGGTTTGAAGCTCACCACCACCCACTTACACGATCCCAGCTCGTCATCCAAGTCCTTCCAAGAAAGCCATACCAGATCCTCCACAAGGCAAATCACCATGTCACGCCCCATCGACTTTTACGACCGCGTCGCCATCGCCACCATCGTCGTCTTCTCCTTCTACCTCATCGGCGGCGTGTGGCTCTGCATCAAGCACGGCTTCCACAAGTCGTCCGGCTGGCGCTTCCTCATCATCCTCGCGCTCGCGCGCCTCATCGGCTCGAGCCTGCGCCTAGCCACCATCAACGACCCGACCAACGAAAACCTCTACATCGGGTGGATGGTGCTCAACGGGCTAGGCCTGGGCCCGCTCGTCGCCATGCTCATCGGCCTGCTGACGCGCGCCTTCGAGGGCATAACGGAGACCCACGGCGGCGACTTTGTCTTCCGCGTCGCGTACCAGAAGCCCGTCCACCTGCTCATGCTGGTGGGCCTGATCCTCGTCATCGTCGGCGGCACCGACTCGGACTTTGCCGTCGACGCCGCCGGCGACCCCACGGTCGACTACGCGGGGCTGTCGGTCGCGGGCATCGCCATCTTCGTGGCCGTCACGGGGATCCTGCTGCTCGAGGAGGCGCTCGCGGCGACGCACTGGAGGTGGGTGCCGCGCGGGGAGCGGCGCATCGTGGCCACGGTGGGCGCGGCGCTGCCGTTTGTCATTGTGCGCCTCGTGTACTCGTGCATCGAGGTGTTTGGCGACGTGACGCCCTCACATGGCGAGTACGTGGGCATGTTTGTCGTCATGGAGATGATCATCGTCTTCATGTGCGAGGTGCTCGGCTTCACGCTTGACAAGGGCCAAAGGCCGAGTCGCCAGCCAAGTAGGATGCCGGGCTTGGGACGTACGCTTGGCATGGCGCAGGATCAGGAGGGGCAGGTTCGGTACGAGCCGCGGAAGCTGCATTCGAGGTTCCGGGGATGAGCTTGGGCAAGGCACCATGAGTTGTCGTATAAGTTACTACGTGTATCATCAATGTTGGCGTTGGGGGACCTTGACATGGAGAGGCAATACACTTTGGCCGGCTTCATACATGCATCTCTGTCTTAAACATCTGCCTATAGCTATTGTACAAATGTTATTAAAGTATCGCATCCATGGATTGTAGATGGCATCGGAAAAGGGCACGCGGATACATAAGCCGTCTCTGACTCTACATGGTCACGAGCAGTTCATCAAGTCACCTGTGATTGATCATGCAACCTCTATCATCTTTGAAGACTCAAAAGACCGGACTTGGGAGTAGCTTATTGCCCCAGTCCAGGATGATCTGGCGTCATGTTGTTCAGAGCACGCGAGGCGACGGGGCGGAAGGATGCGCCTGAGGAGGCGACTTACACGGCCACGCATTGCAAGACCGTCAACGCCAGCACGAAACTCTCATCGGCATAAAATAGCACGCCAAGGCAATGTCCATAGAGTACAGGTCATGGAGCGGGAGACACAGGACATCCGGGAACACCGCAGCATTCTGCTTTACGCCTTCATCCCAACCCCTTCCTACGGACTTCCGAGTATCACCCCTGGCTCCAACGTAGAGTCGTGCTTCTCAAACTGCCCGTGGCGTCCCGCGCCCGACGCAAACCTCGCCGCACCCTGCACGCTCTCCGTAGTGATGACCTTGGCGCCCTCCTCAAACTCGTGCCTCATCGCGTCCTCAAACGACCGCGCCTCGTACGCCGCGTAATAGCAGCTCGCCCTGTCCACGTTCATGCACCCCTGCGGAAACGCCAGCAGGCCCTCCGCGATCCTCGTCGCCTCGCGCAGCGCCTCCCCCCTCGGCACGACGCGGTTCGCCAGCCCCATCTGCAGCGCCTCCTGCGCCGACACGGGCCTCCCCGTCAGGATCATGTCGAGCGCGCGGCCCAGCCCCACGACGGCCTGCAGCCGCACCGTCCCGCCGTCGATGAGCGGTACGCCGAAGCGCCGGCAAAACACCCCGAACACGGCGTCCGACTCGGCGACGCGCATGTCCCCCAGCAGCGCGAGCTCGAGACCCCCCGCGACGGCGTGGCCGGCCACCGCACAGATGACGGGCTTGGAGACTTGCATGCGCGACGGGCCGATGGGGCCGATGTTGCGGCCCTGTACGCCATGGCGAGCGTCGATGATGGGGCCGTTGTATGTTTCACCGGGTGCTGCGTCGCTGCCCGGCCGGAACTTGGCCACCTCGTGCAGGTCAAAGCCCGCGCAGAACGTGCCGTGCGCGCCGTAGAAGACGCACACCTTTTGCGACGGGTCCTGCTCGAACGTGAGGAATGCGTCGGTCAGCTTCCTGGCCGTGGGTCCGTCAATGGCATTGCGCCGGTGGTGGCGGTTAATCGTGATGGTGGTGATGCCATGCTCTGTCTTGGAGACTTGCACGGCATTGGGCTCGCTGTCCGCCATCGAGAAGAGGTGATACCTATACTAAAGGTCAAGACGGCTGGCGTTGTGGTCGAACGCCCTATGGAGCAGACACCGAACCCTATCTACGTTTATAAGTGAGCGGGGATGACACCCAGGCCGAGGTATCCGGCGTGGGCAGTCATGGCAGCATATCCGCTCGCCCGATTGTGATGGTGCCTATCTGATGTCATCGGTTCAAAGGGCGTAGCATCGGCTTGTCAAATCGTTTGACTGTCGTCCGCATGCAGCTGTCTCTGTGCGGCTGGCTTCGGGCGACATCGGAGATGTGAGGCATGGCGCCACGACCCCCAAGTGATTCGACAGGGCCTTGGAAACCCACCAACGACAGCGCATTGAAGATAAAAATGCTTGGAAGGGTGTTTTCACGGTCATGTCGCGTATAATAAGCACCTAGAACATTCGTCAATCTGCGTGGCATACAGTAATACCGTTACTTTGGATCACGAGTCGTCCTCGCCGCTACATGTATTTAGACGGTACGATGCTCTGTAGGTGCGGCCAAACGAAGTGTCTTGTCTTTCAAGAATGAAGTGCATCACTTACTGCTCGATATGCAAGGGCACGTCTCTTCTGATATACCTTGTCTATCCTGATTCAAGTGTTTGCCTTGCCCCGACAAATCTCATGTAGCCCTGGGCTACTTCCTTTTCTGTTCCATGGCTTCCTCGCCCTTGGCGAAACGCTTCTCATTATTCGCAAAGCTCTCGGCCTTCTTGACTTTGTCGAAGACGCTCCAAATCTCAGTAACACTTTGCTTGACATAATCTGAAGCTCGTCAGCTGCCTGTATCATGACTCACCCACGGGTGTAACTCACAGCAACCCACGACCATCCAGATAAAGTTGAAGAAGAAGTAGTAAAACCAAAAGTAGTATCGCTCTGGCCGGCAGTATGATATCTCGAGGAGGCTCGTCGCGTAGTAGAGGACGTCGCCGTAGATCTGACCGGTCGAGATTATAAGTTGCAGAGCGTGTCTGGCGGGGTGTTGCACCACGATGCAATAGGCAATGAGGAAGGCCAACGGACCCCAAGCAAACTGAAACGAGGTGTTAGCGACGTGTGGTTGCGAGCAGTGCCCTTACTTACCGCGGTGACAGCTTCCATGCACAAGAGGAACGTGTCAGACGTCAAGTACCGAGAGTCAGATAGAGAATATTCCTTCCATAGCTGGGACCACAGGGACTGATCGGCAGCAAGCGTCTTGTGGTTCGACACGAAATGGGCTTCGAAGAAGAGGTGAATGAACCCGGCTACCCTCATGTTAGTGCCAAGACTCAGCCTGGGGCAGAGGGGGCACGGGGGCTGCTTACTCAAACACATCCAAGTAAACGCGATCCGATCTGAAAGTTTCGCTGTTGGCCGCAGGTAGCCGAAAAGCTGATAGGAGGCGACGAGCACAGCCGCCCATTGGAAGCCAAAGCGAGCAATCAGCGAAACAACGGAGCTTTCGTTGGCGACATAGTGCGGCAGCTCTACGCCAAGCGGGTAATAGCCGTGCGGCGTCGTGTTCAAGGCCTCCATGGTTTTGGTTCATTACTTCTTTGCTGTAATCATCAATCCACAAGAACTTGACCTTTGCTTTATACGTATCTCGACGACGCCAGGAGCCAAATACACTGCCTGCCGCGTCGCCATGCATCTCCGGAGCCCCACCCTGCCGAGCAACCCGGCTCAGGCCATGCGGTCAATTCATGTCTTACTCCCCGAGACTCGGGATAAGCCAGATGAGGAAAGAAAAGTCGCTTTACCCCAATGGTGTAGGTAACTAGGTGAATTCGGACATTCGGGATTTCCAAAGACCGTCTAACGTCCGTTGTTTAAGTACGACCTCCACATGATTTGTTGACCTGCCCCTGGACGGTCAACGGCTGGCCCACATCGTCCCGCCGGAACGCCGTGGCCCGTGTGGTTCGAACATCGGGACATGCGCGTCTGTCTGGGGGGGATATTAATTCCGAACTTGCAATTCGCCGAGAGCAACGGAGTTTAGTTAGCCTGGGGTAGTGGTCCATGTTTGATTGAGATGCGGCTGGCTCCTGGGGACATGGAACGAGATGTAAGCACTGAAGTGTTGCCGTGAGCTTGTCAGTTGCTCGCACAAAGGGGGAAAAATGTCTGGATGAAGCCCAATTTTACTATTAGGAAATTAGGTACAAAGAATGATTCCTGTCGTTTTGTGTGATCAGGCCGTAAATACTCCTGCTGCCCGCACCTCAGACGTCGAGTGCACGTTATGTCGAATGAGACGGGCTTTTACTTCATGTCGCCAAATCCTCGCCCACCAGGGGGCACCGGCCACTCATTGGCCTTGAGATACCTCCTCTGCCCTTCCCCGACACTCTCCTCGTACCATGTATTCCCTGGCTGCGCAGTCTGGGCGGGTATATCCAACTTGTGCAACCTCGTCGTACTCGCAAACTCATCTAAGCCCTCTGTTACGCCGAGTTCTTCATCCGTATTTACTTCCGGCCGTATCGCCGGCTGCCTGTTCGCGGTCGACCGCGACCCCGGGTCCCGGCTGGAGCGCATGTCGGTGCCGAATATGCGAGGGAAGAGATACACCAGGACAAGGCGCAGCGCGGGCAGGCACGTGCATATGATGCCCACGTTGACCTCGATTGTCGACCACCACACAATGTCCCACAGCTCCCACGTGGGGTTGGAGCCCCTGGCAAAGTGCGTGATGGAGCGGAGGCGTAGTATGGAGACTATCGTGACTCTATTGACGTCTCCGTTAGTTGAGCGTGGTGAGTATTGGTAAGTATCGGGCTCATCACTCACATTGTCCCCGTGAAGAACATGAGGGTTGCTCCGACCTTCTTCTTCCAGTGCAGCTTCAGCTTTCTGAGCTGACTGAGCGGTATGACGAGCAGCCAAAAGTCTGTCGCGACGCTGATGGCGGCGTTGGCCCACGCCGACGCGTTGATGTTGATGCACCCGCCCTCGACGGTCCTCCCAAAGTCGTATTGCTCCCAGTAGTACTGCGTAGGGTGGCACTGGAAGACCACCTTTAGAAGGAACGCCACGATGAAGGCAATCTGGAACACGGCCGTGCCCCAGAGGATTCGCCGCATGGTGGACCCGGGGAAAATGTCGAGATAGAAAAAGTTTAGCGTGAGCTTGACGAGCCCGATCAGGACCACGTAGAGCATCTCCATGACGTAAAAGTAGATGGCAAAGGTCCGCACGTCGGATGGGGAGACACCCCAGACGTCCTGTCCCATGCCGTGCGCGGTCAGGCCAAACATCATGATGGCAATGCCGGCCACCCCGACGACGAGGGTGGCCGCTATGGTCCAGTCGTCGCGGCGGAGGCGTTGGCTCGCGCTGAAGAATTGCTTGTAGATGAGACGAGTGACGACGAAGAGAGTGGTGAAAGCGCCGAGGATGATGTTTAGGACGTTGAACTTGAGGCGTCGGTCGCGGACTGGCGTTTCGCATGCCGTCTCGGTGATGATTCTAGAATCTGGGCTTGTCAACCAAGGATGTCAAGATGGATTCTGTGCAGTTACGTACGGATAGCCACTGGCCGGGTGCAGTTGACCATGATGCACGATTCCGCCTCGGATTTGGTCTGCTCGTCGCCGCATATGCAGGTCATGTTTGACGACGAGCCACAGCTCGCCGTAACGCAAGGGACCTATACACGTTTGTTAACAAGACATATCAGGATGACGAGCAAGACTCACTAACAGCACATTCTGGCAGCTGCGAAAAGTCGCTTGCCCTCAGGGTCAGGTCTCCCACGCGCACACTTCGCTGCATCATGAGCTCTGGTCTTGTGTTGATGAAGGGCATGGCCCCTCCCGAGAGACCGACACCCGTTGTGCTTGAGCCCATGGCGCGTTTCGACAGACGGGAGGGTCAATCCGAAACTGAGCGCTACGGCGAGAGCCGGACGGGGTGGCTAGGCATATTTGAAATGTCAAGCAGGCGACGCAGGCACAGGGCTGATGTGCCGGCGCCTGCCCGTATGTATGCATGAACGGTACTTGTAGACGAGGCTAGCGGGCTGTAAGAACGCATGGCTGGCTGTCCGTCGCCCTCAATGGCAGGAGGTCAAGGCGAGCAAGGCCCCCCAGCCTGGCGACTTGCAACTGTCAAGCTCCAAATCCGAGTCAGGGCCAAAGCGCAAGCTAACTACACCCTTGGCTCCATGCCATCAACGGCCTGGTCCGTCGGCCAAGGCAGACGCGAGAGGGGCCCGTCGCGGCACCTCCACGCGGATGCTACCAGCCAGCCAGCCAGCCAGCCGTCGACACCGTCCGTGCGCGACACCCAAAGAACGCGCGCCACTACCGGACTCGGATCTACACAGGGCGAGCATCCCGGCTCTTGGGGCCTTGAGTCTAACGCGCATGGGGTGCTCTTGCGGGCTCGGCTCGCCAAGCCGACCGGCGCTGGTGGCCGCAAACCCCGTTTAGTAGGCACTTGACGGGAGTGCTTCCGCAAGGGTCCGCCCCAAACCTCATTTAGCCTGAGGTGTCTTTGAGTTGAAGTGAACCATTCGAGCAAGGACAAGGCTGGCTTCGTTTGTGCGTGGGCGGAGATCCGGGGGAAGAACAAGCCTTTTGGTGCGTATCTCGGCGGAATACAAGTTGAGACGACGCTATTAATCCCCGTAACCGGCATGTGGGATCCCCAGGGGGGCTCATCGGCCACGCGCCTCTAAGTCCAGGAAGCCGTTTACCTCACTCCGTAACAGCTTCAACTTCATGTTGCGTTGCTACTGAGCAGAGACACCGCCCGCGCTACACTCTCACAGTTACGATAGCTCTATGCAGCTGTCTCCGACTACCGTGTCGAGGGCACATGGCTCTGGTTCTGCAACAGGAGCAACATGCTACTGCGCCAGGGTCCCATGCCGCTGCAGGGTTGGCCTTCATGCGGCACACAGCTCCCGCATTCCGCCAGGCATCATTGCAAGGGCCAATAACGCCTCCTGTCTCATTGGCAACTCTCGGCACATACAGACCCCAGCCCTGCCGTCCAGCCCTGTCGCCCGTCGCAGTTACCTAGCTCTTTGAGTCTTGAGGACCTGCCTCATTGACACAGAAGAGCGGGTTAAACGCCGCCGATTCGACCGCGGATGCGCCCGGCGTTGATCGTCCTTGGACCTGCTTGCGCCATCGCTGCGTCCTGACAGCTACGCTTGAGCGCTCAGGTCAATGCGTTCGTGCGACTCGAATCAGACGCGGGGAAAGGGATTTCCCGAGACCCTTGTGTGGTATGTTATCTACAGGGCGCGACGCGGGGGAGGAGATTGGCTCTTCATGCCTGCTCGAGTCCATGTCTTCGGACGAGAGGATCTCGAAGTTGCCCGGCTACGCTTTAGCAACAGAGGCAGTGATGCGCCGTCGGGCCAGAAAAGGGGACAACGCCGGCCCAGGTTGTGGTGGCACATCCCTCTCTGGAGAAAACAGGCTTTGAAATGCTGCGAAATGGGAAAGTGTGGCGTGCTGACGAAACTCGAAGAGGCTCGGCGAGGTCAATGCGATGGCCTGACCCTTCGCGATTGCGTCCCTCGCCCGTGCCAGAAGACGCCCGAATTGGTGATAAGACGCACAGCAATTGCCATGGATACAGAGAGGAGCGTAGCCTCTTGACGGGCATGATTCGCAAGAGCAATCGGCCCATCTCCGCGTTCGAGTTCTCCGCGTTCGAGTCAGGACGGATACCCGGCCGGCGCTCTGCGCCTCAATCAACGGCTGAAGAAACCGACGCACTGATCGACCGCAACGTCGACCGCAGAGGAACGTGCTCGAGTAACGTTGATGGAAAACGGCTGCCAATGACGCCCCACGCGAGCTGTTTCCAGCGACACAAGACCTGCGGCGGCACGAGTCGGGTCCACGGAGGCTGCGCTGCATAATCGGCGGCGGTGGAACAGTCCAGCTGACACGATATGCTGTGCGACGAGCCATTCGAACGGCGTGTGCGCGGAGAAGGAACATCTGGGTGCTTCGTGTTCGAGCCGTGCTTCCAGAAAGAGTCCCCCCCGAACAGGGAGGCTGGATAGGAGTTGGTTTTTATTGACGGTGGCTCAGTCATGGCAGACCCTTGGTTTGTTAATGATACAGGTTCTCGGCTCACGGCACGGAGCATCGCGAGCCAACATTGGTTTCAGGGCGACGGTTCGCAGGCATAGCTGCTGCATAATACTTGAGGGCCAATACTCCGAGCACGTTGTTGGTGTGACCAACCTAACCCAGAAATGGCTTTCTTCTCCCCGCAACCAACTTCAACATCTCTCTGTATTACTGAGCGCGAGTTTCCCCACGCTCTGCCGGGACATGCGGAGTGTCTGCTTGCTCAGCACGACGTTGGCTTGCCCGCACAATGCCGGAATAGGTACTAAGACACTCGCCATTGAGACACGCGGGGAGCGTGTGCTCGTGCATACTGGAACAAAGCTGAGCAGCCAAAGCCGCCGTAACGCCATGTCAGATACGGAGGAATAATACATGTTCAGGAAGAGTCCGACTCGCCGGACGGCGTCAAGTGCGTGCGTGTGGCTCCGCCTTCCCCGTTGCGCATGTGGCAGCGCGCGGTTGCGATGCAGGCCGCAACGGCACGCACTATCGTTGCGCTGCGCAGGCTGGTTGATAAATTCCTGAAGCGAGCACGTGTACACTGCCTCGGGGGGTGGCGCATCTTCAGCCAGATTCAGCCCGGGTGATGGCGAGTAACGAGATAGCCGAGCCGGGCAAAAAGCCAGACTTCCACACTGTCGAACCGTCAAACCTGGATTCGGTGTCAGGCTCATGTGGAATTGCCATTGCGATTACCCCAGCTCAGCCCAGCCCAACCCCATCATCAACCTTCGATAATCGGCAAAATTCAGCAACGGGTCCCGCCCGGCAATTCTAATGTTACCACGTACGTACTTCGTACGCGACCCCCAAGAGACCTCGCTGCTCGAGGACAGCGAAGCAGCGACTAGCTTGCACATCGAACCCCATCGTCTCCCGTCGAAGGAACGTGAAAGGCCAGGCCACGCCAGTCCCGTCCACGCAGATGGATCGTCAGCGGGCGCACGCGCGCACGCACAGGCGCGCGAGTGGAGAGAGTGCTTACACGCTCGGCCAGCCTGGCCGAAGGGCAACCATTTTAACAGGCGCACCAATAGCCGGCGGCAAAAAGCGCCTGGATAAGGGCCGCCCGCCTCTCAAGCGCCCCCTCCGCGGGGCGACGTGAAGACGGCGTGGGCGGGCGACGGCGGTGGTGGGTCCAGGGACCGGCCGGGTAAACTGGCCTGCTAAATTGGAGCGCAGTGGCCCCTCCAGACGTCATGGAGGGCGGGATGCGAGTTGTCTGGGTTGAAGGGGGATGGACTGGAGTGGGAGGAGGAGGGCGGGGGAGGGGGGCAAAGAAAGTGTTGGTGACTGCGCTGCTTCTCTCCACCCCCCGAATAATAGTCCAGTGCAGGCAGTACCACCAGGGAAGGTCCATGACGGGCCGGGTGGCCGGGTAAGGGCTAACAGGGAGAAGCTACTCCGAGGATGGACAAGGTTGCTCTGCCTTTTGAGAAAGCATTGAAAAAGGGCCGGTTCTGCCGCGGGGTTGTTCTTGGGGCCTGGCCACGGTCGTCTCTCTCAACTCTCTCCCTCTCTCTCTCCTCAGCAGTTGGATTGTCAATCCCAGAGGAACAAGCCGGTTCACGAGAAACGTTGAAAGACAAGACAAGGGCTCGCCTGAAAAACAACCCCCGCCGAAACCTAGATCGCAACGTTGAGACAGCGCATCGTCACCATGGCTTCTCCTCAGTACACCACGTATGAAACTCTATCCCCCCGCGCGCGCGGCCCGGCCACGTTGCCATCACACCACCCGCTCCACACATCACGCGTTGAAGCTTCAGCATGAATGAACTCAATGGCAGGCAACAGCCCCTGAAGCGAGGACATAATAACTGACACGCTCGACTTCCCCGCAGGCGCACCTTTACGCTCAACACGGGGGCCAAGATGCCCGCCGTCGGGCTCGGCACGTGGCGCTCGGCGCCCAACGAGGTGCAGACGGCCGTCGAGGCGGCCCTGCGCGCGGGCTACCGGCACATCGACACGGCGGCGGCGTACGGCAACGAGGCCGAGGTGGGCGCCGGCATCAAGGCCTCGGGCGTGCCCCGCGCCGACATCTGGCTCACGACCAAGCTCGACAACCCGGAGCACAAGGACGCGGCGGGCGCGCTGGACCGCAGCCTCGCCCGCCTGGGCACCGACTACGTCGACCTCTACCTCATGCACTGGCCCAGCTCCACGGACCCCACGGACCTCAAGAAGCACCACCCGGACTGGGACTTCCGCGACACCTGGCGCGAGATGCAGAAGCTCGTCGAGACGGGCAAGGTTCGCAACATTGGCGTGTCCAACTTTGAGACGATTAACATGGAGAAGCTGCTGAGCGACCCCAACTGCAAGGTACGCCTCTCTCCTCGCGCTACACTCTTACAGTGAACCTCTGAACACCTCGGGTAGCTGCCAGCCCGTCGTTACGCTTCGTGTGAGTGACAAGGAGTGTCTCGTTGCTGACAAGAGTCCAAAAACAGATCGTCCCCGCCGTCAACCAGATCGAGCTGCACCCCGGCTACCCCTCGCCCAAGGTCGTCGCCTTCAACACCAGCAAGGGCATCCACAGCACGGGCTACTCGTGCCTGGGGTCGCAGGACTCGCCCTTCTACAAGGACGCGACGCTGCTCAAGATCGCCGAGGCCCGCGGCAAGACCCCGCAGCAGGTGCTGCTCGTCTGGGGCCTGACCAAGGGCTGGAGCGTCATCCCCAAGAGCGTCACGCCGTCGCGCGTCCAGGCCAACTTCCAGATCGACGGCCTCGAGCTGTCCGCCGAGGACATCAAGGCCATTGACGGCATCGCCGACAGCCTCGGCGAGTACAAGGTCTGCGACGACGAGTGGTTGCCCATCCGCGTCTTTGACAAGAAGCTCATGAACTGAGTGTGTTGCGTGGTGGCCGTGGAAGGGGGGAAGGGAGGAAGAGGAAGGCGTGGCGGTGGCTGAACAAACGTGATGGGATATACCTAGATTTACATAGAAGCAAGGATCTGATTGACCATTGGATTGCTGGTCGACACCGGCCTCGTGACCCAGCCATTCCGAGTTGCGTGTAATATGTGCTTGTGTACATTGTATATGCATATATGTATGTATATGGCGTGTATCGTCGTTGTCGCGTGGACGGGGTATCATCATAACTTGGTCTTCCTCCCACTCCCATCCGAGTCCTCGTCGGGCATCTCCTCGGCCAGCACCGCCGCCGCCTCCCTGCGTATCGCGGCGGCCAGCCTCTCCGCGTCATCATCATCCAGCTCCTCGCGCCTCCCCTTGCCAAACATGGTGAAGCTCTCGCTGAGGCGGCCGCTGGCGCGAATCTCGGGCCGGGGGATCAAGTGGTAGTGGACGTGGGGCACGACCTGGGAGGCGGCGGCGCCGTTGTTCTGCACGACGTTCCAGTCGTCGACGCCCGTGGCGCGGGCCAGCGCCGCCGACAGGACGCGCACGTAGGCGCCCAGCTCGCGGGCCTCGGCGGGGGTCGCGTCGGTGAGCTTGGGGCGGTGCGGGCGCGGGCACAGCAGCAGGTGGCCGGGCGAGAGGGGCATGATGTCGAGGAAGGCGACGAGCAGGGGCGTGGAGAGGACGACGAAGGAGGACGGGGTCGTGAGCTCGGCGTTGAGGGAGGCGGGCGGGCGGCGCGGGTCGTAGGGCGCGTGCGCGGCGGCGATGGCGCAGAAGGGGCACTCGTCGACGGGCGGCGCCGCGGACGGGTCGAACATGGTGGGCGAGTGAGTGGAGGGACGGATGGGCGGCGTCAATGCGGCGGCGTGTTGATGGACATGTCAAGTCAATGGATGGCGGGGGCTGAAGCGGGTGAGGTTGTGGCGATGGACGTTGCGGGAGGAAGCTCGTCAGTGCGTGGTGGAGGGCGGAGGAGGATGGAGGAGCAGACAAAGGGCGGGCGGCAGCCCGGCCGAGCCGAGGTTGGGTGGTTAGTGGTTGTTGCACAGTGGGCGCCCGCCACCAGACCGGTCCGGCGCCGGACTGGGCCGACGGCGTGGAGCTCCGGCCCCGGCTTGGGTGCCGAGGATGCGACAATTGGGGTGCGCCTTGTGCATGGTGGGCAGCACGACAATGATTTGTTTCGCATTTCCTGTATAGGATGTGCCTCGTCAGGTCCCAATGCCGAATGCCGTGTCCCGGTTCCCCTGCCAGGGTTGATCTCTGGTGTGGCACGACCCCCAGCCGGCTAACCCTAACCCTGGACAGCCTCACGTGCGGCGCAGTAATCGTAAAAACGGTCGCAGACCTCGCAACTTGTACTTTGTCACAACTCACCACGGGCTCGTCGAGCACGGTGCTCTTCAACCCTGTGACTAGCTGCTGAAGAACGCATCTCTGCGTCAAGAGTCAATCGATTCGATTCGCTCCCCTCTGACTGCGGGACCTCCAACGTTGACCCTTGCCCGAGTCGGGCACATCGATATTCCCCTGCACCACGCGGGATGGAGCTCGACATTTGACCGCTGCAGCTTGCAAGTTGCAAGGCTGACGGCGAGGATGCCAACAACAACGACGAAATAAAGTACGCAGCTACGACGCTCCCCCCACCGAGCCCCTTGGCGGCGCAAGGCAAAGGCCAATATTCCCCAGCTTCGGCTCAGACCCTCGTGCTCGCTCAAGCCTCCATCACTGACGTAGCCCGCGTAGCACGTTGATGGCCGGGCGGGGCACCGCTGCACAGCACAGCACAGCACTGCACAGCACTGCACAGCACTGCACACCGCAGCACCGCAGCCAAGCACTCCGCGGACGACGCTTCCCCGATTCAGTTCGTCCCGCCGGACACGAGCTCCGTAGGGCTGAGACAAGCATTTTCCCCCCTTGTCCCCTTGCCCGCGCCCCTCCTTCTCGCGACTCCATCCGTTCGTTCCAGAACCCGCCTCACACGCACAGAGGGTAGGGGGAAGGGAGACACACCGGGTTCCTGCCGCCGCCGCGTTGAACTCTGGGGTTACCCGTCGGTGGCGCCTCGTATTCAATCATGGAGCGCCTGCGCGGTAATTTGCACTGACGTATTGCCGGCCCGGTCTCGAGGCTCCTTTCGAAGCAGATATATTCGGAGAGGGATGCTCCATCGATCTAACTGAGAATGAAGTAGGTCCGTCTCGCACGGAGTTGACGATGCCTTCCATCGGCCCCCCTGCCTGGTGACTTGTGTTCGTCAATCCCAGGACTGATGGACCAGCTGCGGCAGCAGCCAGCCCCAGGACCGCCCTCAGCCCTGCTGCTGCTGCGCTGAACTGCGCTGCTGCGCGGCGCTGCGGGTTACCACGCGAGAAGCCCACCGGCAACCCTCCGCCGCCCGGCGCCGTTCCAGACTCGGACCATGCCCGAGCACATCACGGGCTCTCGCTGAGGGCCATGACGGCACATCTTTGCAGCGCCTCACCACCAGCATGGCCACGCGGACAATTGCCGTTGTCGGCTTATTACCAAGGTTAAGCAAGACAGACCCTCATTCATGTCTGGTCCCTGCGCCGCAGCCGCGATGCCGCCCGAGATGATGATGATGGGGGTCAAAGTGCTCACGACGGGACAGCCCGTCCGCCCCGATGCATGCTGCTGCTGCTGCTGCTGCTGCTGCGCAGACAATTTCCCCCGCGAGTCGCGCCACGGTTGGCCGCCGCCCTCTTGCGTGCGCCCGCCCGCCCGCTCGGAAAAGAGTTGCCGTGGCGCAGCCTGCGCGGGCGCCCGGGCACCACGCTCGCAGAATAATTGGGCTCACAGCTCCTCTCTCTCTCTCTTGTTATATAACTAGAAGCTCTCTCTCTCTCTCTCTCTCTCTGTGCGTGCCTGCCCGGTCGGCAGCCCAACACCCATTCACATACTACACGCACCACCCAACGTTGGCTCGTTCGACCCCAAAGCTTCTTCCCCCCCGGAACTCTCACGACCTGCATGCATGCAGCTCGTTTTGACTCACGCACCGCTGCGGGGAAACGCCAATTCACGCATGTTCGAGACATCTGTGGCTTGAATTCAAGAAAAAAAGAAACGAGGAAAACGAAAAAGAAGCGAGCGGCCAACGGGGGCTCTGTCCAGCCACCAACTTACACGGCGCCTGAAACCTCCAGCTTCCAACTCCAACTCCAACCTCAACTCCCAAACGTCACTGCCTGACATCATCACCAACCCCAGCGCGCACACACGGCCTGGACCTGGGCCGGCAAGGATAGACGTACGCCACATCGCTGGCATAGACACAAAAAGCGCCCTTCGTAATGGCCACCGCTGCACCCAGCGAGGCCGCCGCCAACCTCACCAACGGCACTACGAACACCACCCCCCCTCCTCCTCCTCCGCCGCCGCCCTCCACCCTCCGCCCCCTGCGGCACGTCTACACCGCGCACGACACGCACGCCAACACCGCCATCTTCACCAAGATCCGCCCCGGCTCGCCCACCCCCCACGACGACGGCCGCCTCGCCATCGACGACGTCTACGCCGCCTCCACCCTCTCCGGCGCGCCCGGCCGCGTCCGCCCCGTCCACCACCACCACAGCCCTCCACACTATCACGACGATGAGTACGGCGGCGACAGCAGGCGGAGCACCGCGAGCGGGGTCCTCTCCGCCGGCGTGGCCAGCCCCGGCGGCGGCACCGTCTGCCGCGTCGTCGACATAGCCCCGGGGCACGAGTGCGCGACACAGCGCGGCGCCGCTGCCTCTAGCTCCAGCGAGGACGACAGCGGGGGCGGAGGGAGCAGGGTCGGGAACACAGGCGGCGGCGGCGGCGGGGGAGCCATGAACATCGACTACGCCATCGTCGTGGAGGGCGAGGTCACGCTGCGGCTCGACTCGGGCGAGGAGACAGTCCTGGGGAGGGGCGACGTGGCGGTCCAGCGCGCGGGGAGGCACCTGTGGAGGAACGCAGGCGCGACGGAGTGGGCGCGCATGGTGCTCGTGCTGCAGGACTGCCGGGCGCCGTCGAGCGGCATAGACGGGGAGGGCATGCAGTTTCGGTAGCACGTATGGTATGGGCGGGCGGATAGGTGAGTGAGTGAGTGCAGGTAGTTGAGGCATAGCGGTTTGGATGGATTAAATGCATTGTCAGCGACTCAGTGAGCCGACCCTTCGTCTTCGAGCATGCCGGTGGATTATGGGACGAGGTCATTTTCGGTGCCTCGTTGCTGCTTGATTGACGAGTAACCTGCTTGCAACGGCGTTGTGCCACATGTCGTCTGTCGCCTGGCGCTGCAGGTCCCAAACTTCCTTCATGTCTCCCCAGTCCATCAGCGCGATGCCACTTCAAGTTCTACAGATACAGCTATCAGGTCATTGTGTCTACCAAAACAAGCCGCCTGTGTCATCTAGTGACACCTGGGGTATATCCACCGCTCTAATCTCTCCCAGACAAGAAGCACGCACTGATTGATCCCTGGCGTCTCGAGCCGCAGACGACTCAGTCATCCCCGACATCCGCAGCCGACCTCTTCAGTCTCTCGGCCTCATCAAGTCGCCCGAGGCAATCCCATCAACCCAACCGACTATAGAATACATACCGAATTAACCCTGGCGTTGACCATATATCTGGCCACGAAACGAGCCCTATCCGCTAAGCCTGACCACTAATAGCAGATGCATAACTTTGTCTGTAGTACTGGGATGTAATCTGCATTGCTGGGCTATAACCTGTAGTACGGAGATGTTGCCACTGATGCTGGGATATTATCTGTAGTCTGGTACGGGGATGTTGCTACTGATGCTGGGATGTTATTCGTAGTACTGGGATGTCATCTAGAGTGCTGGGATATTGTCCGCAGTGCTGAAATGCTGTTTGTGATACTGGGTATGTGGGTGCGAAAAACAGCGCCGGTCTTATCAGCAAAAGTTGAATGTGTTGACCGGCACTGTTTGTGATACTGGGGCCTGGGATGTGATATGTAGCACTGCGATGCTGTTATTGCGATGCACGCCGAAGGAGGGGTCTCAGGCTGGCCGTTCCACAGATTGGGGATGTCGCATTGAAACCGGGGGTTGATGTATTGAAACCCCGGGACTTTCATGTTGTACGGACTCCCCAGCGAAATTGGTACCAAGTTCAAATGGCTCCTCGTCGAAGAAGGGGCCACCGACCACGGGCTCTAGCGAATCATCAGGAAAGATGTACGCTCCAATATCGTCCCAGTCGAAATAACCCGCATCTGTTGCTTCGTGGGCGGCTTCGTTTGCTGACTCGACAGCCGCCTCTGGTTGTGGCTCGGTGTTGCGTTGCAAAAGCTCATGGGGCTGTGAGGTTGCAGTCGGCATTGAAGCAGACACCGAGTCCTGCGGCGTAGGTCGCGCCGATTGGCCATGCACGACCTGGAACTGCTCTTCTGATGAGCTAGACGTATCTCGAGTCTGAGCTTGGCTCGTCCAAGGAAACTCGCTGCTGATGGAGTCGCCTATTGGGGGCGTCTCCTCGTCGACGGCCACCGTGGCAGCGGTAGCCACAAAACTCTCCCACGCGGTTTGGAAGCCACTTTCGACAAGCTGCAGAACCATCGGCAGCCGCTCAGACGTGGGAGTTCCCAGCATTGCTCTAAGGACCTCGTCTGTGAGCTGCTCGGCGAGCACGGTGCCAACACGGGGTGAACAGAACCGCCTGAAACTGTCAAAGTCTCGAGACTGCTCAAAGTCCATGTAAGGAGACTCCGGCCGAGGGGTGTTAACGAATAGAATGTCCCAGACTGCGTACCACTGCTGCGAGGCCGTCTGCAATCGCTTCGACTTTTTACTGAGTGCCTTGCGCTGATCGTTGGAGACGCCGTCCAATGTCTCAAGCGGGCGAGGATGGCAGGATTCTGCGGACATGACGTGGGCGGTATGACTCTGCTTCTGCTCAAAGACCTCAAAGCACCTTTCGCAATAATAATTTGGCGTGTGCTTTCTCGCGAGGTGCTGCTTCACGTCTCTAATCCTTGCTAGCTTCATGGAAAAGCACATCTGGTGCGTTGAAGGGCTCTTCTTCCAGAATGGACACGCAAAAAGTTTACGCGTCAGATCATCAGATTTGGACCTTTTCACTGGTAAGGCGGAGCCCCGTCGCCGGGAGTCTTCGTCCTGATCCTCCGGTGATCTGTCTCTCTTGAGACTTAGAGACGAGCCGGTTGCCGATGAGGGCGGCTCCCCTGGCTGCGACGATCCTGCTGTGCACGGTTGATGGCTCGCCTCCGAGGATTGCGTACAGCTCTTGATCCAGACTTGCCACTCGTCCATCAACAAGTGAAGTACCCGAGTAAGGACCTCGCACGCCGTAGGTCCTAGTCCGAAGGGATCAAGTCGTTCTGAAAAGTCTGGTATAGACAGCATATCTGAGTCTATTGAGTCGAAAGAAATCGTCGTAACATCTGGAGATTCTTCCGCGAGTTCAGTCCTGTCGCCTCGAGCTGCGCCTCTCGTAGTGCATTGATCTGAGGGATGAACACGGTCAAATAGATTGTTGGCTATCGAATACTGGGTCAATTCGGATTCCGGACTTGCTGTCTCAAGTTTTGGTGCGATGCCCTCTTGGACGCCACCAACCAGATCTAATTCAACATCGTCGTCTGCTGAGCAAGACGATGGCGGTGGGTTCGAGTCGGCCCCATGGTATTTTTCGGCGGAGTACTTGCTTGGGCTGCTACCGAAAAGGGGATGCTCAGCCGCAGACTTGGGGACGAAGTAGTCTCCAAGACAGGAGTTAGCTGGGCCTATTCTTCGTCCGGCGATAGGATTACTTACCAAGATGATCGACAACGATGTGTCTGCACGGCGCCGACTCAAACAACGCGAGGTCGAGTCGTTCCAATTGCTCAGCCGATAAAGCAGGGTTCTTACTCGTGAATAGAGGATCTCCAGGCGAGCCAAGAGCCACAGTCCAGATGACGATGTCTTGGAGCAGTCGGTACAAGACCAGTGAGCCACGTGAGCCTTTGATGCAGACCCTTCCGCTGGCTTTCATGAGCTGTCCCGTGCCGGTAAGCTCCTTCATCATATTGATTGAAAGTTCCAGTCCGGGGCAAGAGGCAGGACGGCGAAGTATCGGAAGGCCTTTGATGGCGACAGGGTTTCGGAAGAGACCACGCCAGCTGCCCACACCCGTGCGGGTCATGTCGTGTTCATCTCGACCAAACTGAAAACCAATATTGAACGAAGCGTACTGTATCAGCCGCATTACGGTGTTCACCTCTGCATATCGAGCGTGGCGATCGACGGAAGCGACTGCAACCATCGGCTTGCAGTACCCAGCCCAGTGGTGTGTCTCCTGCTGCAGCGCTCGGGATAACCAAGCGGCGCTGAGCCAGGTGAACTGTTCACCGCATTCTGCGACTGAGTAGGCAGTGCCTCGTGCTCGGAGGAATAACTGCGAGCTTTTTACCCATGATGTCAACTCGGTCCCATCAAGCAGGACCTCTATATGTATGGGCTGTGTCAATATCAATTCTTCGCAGGTATCGACAAGTTTTGTGGGATGTCTACATACCTGTCGAGGGGTGTTGGTCTGGCGAAACCAGGGCTTTTTGTATCAGTCGGAGGAGGCGCTCCGAGCCAGACGCCCAGGTCTGCTTGAAATACGGCAACGAGTAGGTTGCCTGGAATGAATTCGAGCCTCCAATTATGCTAAAGTCACCGGCTAGTGAGGATTCGCCTCCGTCTTTGAGGCGGCTTAGAAAATTGCTCAGACACCAAACGAGCTCAAACTGAACGTCGTAGACTAGTGGGGCTCTGCGTCGGCTGACCTCGCCCCGGGGAAGCTTGTCCAGTATCTTGGATTTGATGCTGTCGTCGCCGGGTTCCCCTCCCGAGGTATTGGCCGTTAAGAGTGTCTCGTTCCTTAGGCTGGACAACAGCCACTTATAGGCAGGGCTGTCGAGGATAAGATCCATGTATGCAGACAGCTCTGCAGCACCAGTGCCGTCAGCCACAAGTCGTCCAGAGCCGTCGGAAAGTTGGTCCTCTTCTGCCTCGGGGCGAGACATCCTCTCGTCTTCCATGACGGGGACATCGCCACAATCGGGCTCAACAATCGTTACATCCTCGTTCCTAGACCACAAGGCCATTTTTTCAGACAGTGACATGTCGGAAGAATTGTCCCGTTGAACGTCAGCCGGGTCGTTCCCATGCCGGTACAACATCTCGATATGGTCAGCAATCTCGCTGAAAGCACACTTCTGTTAGCACAAAAAGTGCCTGATGGGTTCTATTTAGAGACTTGCCTGCAATGTTTGTGTATAAATCGCATGGCTTCAAGGTGCATTGGGGTATTGGACAAATGGCCCAGCTTGATAGCAAAGGCTTTGAGGAGTTTTGGCGCGCAGTGGCCAATGTCCTCCCACTGTCCGCCGTGCTCCTTCAACCGAAGGTTACTATAAATGCTAATAGCAAGTTCTTCGATATAGTGTCGGGCGGTGATGTTGTCATCTGCTGATGGGCCCGTGTACCATGTTCTCGTGTCGTCCTCAACGCTTGTCGCAACGCCGAGTGGATTTGCTCGGGTTTCGAGTGAGTGTTGCGCGTCTTTTGCTCCCAAGAGCCTGGCCATGGGCCCGGATGCATAGCCCGAGTCAGTGAATAGCGCTCCGCTGTGCCCTGGCTGATGTCTATCAAGAGACGTGACGGCCTCGGGAGAGCCTTCCTCTTGCGTTGGGTCCGGGCCCAAGGCGTCCAGCCAGTGATCGTCGTCTGGAAGTAGGCGCCGGGTCTCAAACTGGGGTTGCAGCTCCAAGCCCTTGTCGATCATCCTCCATGCTTTTGATCTCTCCGACTCCATCCTTCTGTGCTCCTTGTACTCTGGCGCTCCGTAGAGAAAGTTTTGCACACCGGATTTGGAAGTATCTGTCGGAGGTCGCACAGGCAGTTTGCCTGAGATGCTAGCGAAGGCGGGCAAGGCTCGTAGCTTTGAACCCAGCACTTGGCCAAATTGCGCGATCAAGGGGTCCTCCTTGGTTTCCTGATTGCGGACTGCTGACCGCGTTCGCGGGTGATCGGACGAAGCCCTCGTCTCCCCTTTGCGGATCCTGTCGAGGCCCCATAGCTTGACTCGGTAGACACATCTGAGAACTTGTTAGCCATAATGCATGGATTGGCAATCGCCAGCTATCGAAACGCACTGTCGGTGGCTTTTCTCGAATCAGCATCACGCACTGCAAGAGTGGAGGGTCAATGAGACGGCTCACGTAGCATGAAAGCCGAAATCCTTGGCAAGCAGCCGGACAATCAGATCGATTGGCTTCTCCTCGGCAATGTAAAGCTCGGTAAACTTTGGCTTTATTGCGTCCCATTCGGCTGCAGTGATGCGGCTGCCAGGCGGTTTCTTGAAGAAGTCGGAGATCCTGGGGCGCGGGGCGATGATGGCGTCGGTCTTTTGCGGCGCCTCCTCGTCGGATGCGTCGGGTCCGTCATCGTGCTTTAGGTCGTGCTTTAGGCGTCGGATTCGGTATCGATCTCTTGTTCTCTGCGGGCCAGCCGCCGACCTGCCAGCGGCTCGCTTGCCAGCTGTAGAAGAGGGAGAGACCATGTTGGCTCCCGGCGGAGGCTCGATAACGAGAAGGTCTAGCCGCCCTCACCTTGGGCCTGTGTGCGTCTAAGGGGGGTTTCTTTCGAAGCCGTCGACTAAGGGCGGAGAAGGCGTCGACGGTGAGGCAATGACGCCTCCTGGCAGGCAATTGCTGTCATGTACGCGCATGCCCTTCATGAGACGACGTTCCGCGGTAGCGGCGCAAGGGTGGAACCGAGCCGCGAGCTCGCCAAACGGACAATTGATCCCTCTCGGCCGGTGGGAAGGATTCGAGTCTGCCGTTGGGCGGCGCCAACGAACTGGATGACAAAGTTGTGTCAGAGGTTGGGTTGGGATGCTCTGGGATGCTCCTTCCCTGGTGGGGGAACGCCGTTCCTGCCTCCATGTCGCTCCGCCCCCAAAGTGAGGCGAGGAGGCGAGCGGCTGAGCGAACGCATGCATCAAGAGCACCTCGTGCTTTTCACAACCATTGGCTGACTGGCGCCGGGATTGCGTAGGCCGTGAGTGTGAGAGGCAAAAGCACAATGGGGTCAAACCGCTGGTGCTTTGGGCCGCAGCAGCGCTCATGGCCAGAGCGGTTCGCGCTCACGCGACGAACGGAAGAAAACACATGTGGTAGCTTGAGGTCGGCGCTTCTCGTGATGTCCCAAGGTCGGCTCTAAGTCAACTTGTCAGCTTGTAGGTTCTCGTCGAGATGGAGGATAAATACTGCAAAGCCGCCGAGGGTGCGCCCTTTGCATGCCGACAGACATCAACTCACTCACTTGATGCTCGCCTGAGCAAACATAATTATGAGTTGAGAGGCATCATGATTTAGAAATGTCTACTTGCTCTACCCCGTCGGCGACCCTAAGCGCCGGCAGTCGGTAAGTGGATGGACCATGGCGAGCTGAGGCCGGGAGGCGCTGACTTGAGATGCGCTAGTGCTGGAGGCGAGCCACGGCTTACAGCGTCGCTGGACCGATACACGGAGAGCCCCCCTGCGGTGACCGAGAGGCTGGCGTTCCCGCAGACAAACGACGAGATTGAAGAAATTCCGCAACTCAGGTTTGACGAGGCCATGGAATTTATCGGGCGTTGGCAAGATGCTTGGGACTCGATGTCGGAGGATGTGGCGGGCGAGCAGCAAACGCCGGGCAGAGGGGGACAAATCGTGTGTAAGACGGATACCCGGATGATGGATCCAGCACCGCCGCGGTGATACAAGCAAAGGCCTCGATGGCTCAAAGTGGTCGGAGTCTATCATGTATATTATGTACTTGCACCCATATGCAACGGTACCGACTAAATACGTGCTTGGATAGGCTAGAGTCGGGCGCAACAATGCAAACATCATCCTGCCTCATGGCCCGCGGGTCCGATTCAACAAAGCGCACGATCCGACGTGCAAGAACGACGAGATTGACGACATTATGGGTAGAGAGTGGAGGGCATCCAAGTTGAATCAAGCGTCCATCGTATGTGCAGCGCAGCGTGCACAGCGAGATTCGGCGTGAATCCCGAGGCGCCTCCGCAGTGCACCGAGGAACCGAACCCCCCCGGAAATACTTCATATCCCTCCTGGAGAGCGCAAGTCAGACCACTGCCCGCCAAAGCCAAGAGCGCGCGAGCATCTCCGTGGACTCAGCCGGCTTATCAGGCTCGTGCCACGGATGACAAACAGGCGCTCGCGACTCGCTGGACGCGCTGGACGGGGGCCTGGCGCTGGAGGGGCCAGGCCGCCAATAGCGGCGACAGCGGCCCCTGGCGCGGACCCTGCCCAGGCCCTTTTCCAGTGCCCATCGGCGCCCATCCAATGGGCGACTTGATAGGCGGACGGGCGTGACTAATGTGGCACGGCAATTAGTCACCCAATCACCCCGCAGCATTTTCCATCCCGTTTTCACAGGCCGCAGCCGAACTCGGATGGCAAAAGTTACAAGTAGTAGCGCCCGCTATTCCACACGCCACCACTACCACCAATCCTCATTACTGCGCTTTGCCGTTGCCATCCATCCCGTCTTTTTCCATCTCAGGAGGCTTCGTCCAAGGGAACAGTCCAGTTCCTGCCCCAAGACACCACCGCAGCCGCACGCCGCTGGCGAACACACACGACGCAGCCATGTCCCCCGTCATCATCGACACGTCCGACGACCTCGACCTGCGCCCCGCCACCATGACGAAATCATCCGCCGCCGCCGCCCGCACCCTGTTGTTGGCCCCGCCGTCCGTCGCCGCCCACGAGGACCGCCTGCGCGACGCCCTCGCCGGCCTCGACCGCGCCCGCACCGACATCCAGATGCTCGACCGTCTCGCCGCCCGGCTCGTCACCCTGCCGCCCGCCGCCTACGACCAGGTCCTCGTCCTCGCCGACCCCGAGTCCGTGCCGCTGCAGCAGCTCGGCCGCGACGTCTACGCCCTGCTCGTGCCCGCCATGCGGACCGGTGCCGCATTGCGCTTCCAGAGCGGCCGCCCCGGCGCGCGCGACGCCAAGGAGGCTATCCTCGCGGGCCTGGTCGAGCGGGACGCCGGCGCTGCGTTTGACAAGGTCGACGAGGAGGAGACGGTCGTCCCCCTGCGGCTGGGCAAGAAGAAGACGAACGGCGTTGCGCCGCCGCAGAAGAATGGTGCCGCTGTCGATGAGAATGCCGTCAAGTTTGACCTGAGCGCCCTCAATGACCTCGACGACGACGACGAGATTATCGACGAAAACGACCTGCTCACAGAGGAAGACCTCAAGCGCCGGCCCGTGCAGCGTTAGTGAAGCCCTTCGCCCTATTCTTCGCAATCCTTCCCCTTCTACACACTACAAGCACATGATCGGCGTCTCGCTAACAATCTAATAACAGCCGAGAACTGCAACCCCCAGAAGCGCCGACGCCCCTGCAAGGACTGCACGTGCGGCCTCGCCGCCAAGTTCGAGGCCGAGGACAAGCAGCGCCGCGCCGAGGCCGACGCCGGGCTCGGCGCCCTCAAGCTCGACGTAAACGACCTCAACGAGCTCGACTTCACCGTCGAAGGCAAGACGGGCTCCTGCAACAACTGCTCCCTCGGCGACGCCTTCCGCTGCAGCACCTGCCCTTACATCGGTCTGCCTGCCTTCAAGCCCGGCGAGGAGGTTCGCCTGCTCAACGACGTGGCCCAGCTGTAAAGGCTCCCTCGTCGGTGATTTATACGTTTCATGCCATCGGATTCATGAAAGGGTGGCGGGTTCAAACTTCAAACTTGGGTCATGGCATTATGTCATTTTTTCTCTTACGTTTCTCATGGATGGCGTTCAAGGCGCCGAGCGGGTTATTGCGGATGGATACACCATGTCTGCTGGGAACTCATGGGTCGGTTTGACTGATTGAATGATTTGCTATAAACGAGGCTGCCGACCGGGATAAAGCAGCGGCCTATAGACTATGCGGAGCACACCCTCATCGACGAGGGCACGAAGAATGGAATTTCATCCTACCTACCTTGTGAAAACAGCTTGTGACACCAAAGTAGAAGGTGAAATGTCTGCCTACCCCGCCGCATCCATATCGCTCGCTTGGTGTTTTTCTTCAAGAGTCGTCATGTTGACGTGTCCGTGCTACGTACGACAAGTGGTCGTCGAACCCAGGCTGCAGGATAAGAGGCCCTATGGCAGTCAAGCGCCGACAGCCTTGAAGTAGATCCGTTGCCGCGCTGGAGCCTGCTCGCGATGACGACGGCTTTTTGTCTATTTATTGCCTATTGCGTACATACACGCGTACCGCTGAGGAAATTATCTCGATCAGCAGTGACGCGGTGCTGACAGGCAGACGACTACGACGACACATGTGACACGTGCGAGTATTAGACAGCACCTAGTGAACGACAGCGCGCGGCAAAGTATTGGGGTCTAGATCTCGGGAGCGAGCGCGCCACGAACTGCTTGGGCCCGTCGGGCCTGGCCTGTGGTCGCGGTCTTCAGCCGCACCCCGGATTTGGGCGCGCGAGGCGTTGAGCTGAGGCCCGCGTGGGCGAGTGGCATGGTGAGTCCAGCCTCAGCGGTGGGAGTTAAATAAAAAGAGCAGGCAGCTGTCGTGCCGCAGCCGCGGCCGTGGTCGTGCTATGCGTGGCTGCAGACAAAGCTGCTCTGGCTACAACGCGTGTCCTACAAAGAGACAAACGCTGCAGTGAGTGAGCAGGACGGCCGTCTACGATGATATCTACGGTTACGATGGCGGGGCTGTGCGACAGCGGATGCGGCACGGTCCGTGACAGGAATGGAAAGCGGCTCGCGGATGGGATGGCGACGAAGCGAGGCAAGACAGCTGGTGGCAAGGAAGATGATGAGGTCCGACGACGGGCCGTGGTGGAAACGGTGCGCGAGGTGTCGGCCCCGACGGCGATGCAGCACGTCCTCGACACGAGCGAGCTCCTCGAGCTGATCCTCCTGCACGTCGACATGCAAACGCTGCTCACCTCCGCGCAGCGCGCAAGCCGCACCTGGCACGCCCTAATCACGACGTCACCGCCCCTCCAGCGACGGCTCTTCTTCCTGCCCGAGCGGCGCCGGCCGCCGGACCAAACCACCTCCAATCCGGACGACCCCACCACCGTCGTCACGGAGCCGGACCTGCGGCGGGCGCGCGAGCAGCACCGCGTCGACAACCCGCTGCTCGTGGCGCACTTCGGGCCCTTCTTCGGAGACGCCGTCGACCCGCTGCAGCTGGTCCCCGCGGCGGGGGAGGTGACGCTCGAGGAGGCGCTGTGGGAGCTCGACGAGGAGATTGCGGTGCCGAGCGCGCGGACCGTCTTCCGCGGGCTGCCGCTGCACAGGCTGCACGTGGAGACGGGGTGCGGCGACAGCGCGTACAGGCGCGAGGGCGCGTCGTGGAAGAGGATGCTCACGTCGCAGCCGGCTGTCACGCGGGTCGGGTTCCTGCGCCATCCCGGCACGCGCAATGACCCGGAGATGCAGGTGTTTGAGCCACAGGCGCGGCCGCACGAGCGCAACACCAGCGATGGATGCCCCTCACCTTCATCCTCTTCCTCATCGTCGTCTGCCGAGTCGAGCAGAGTGTCCGATGCCTCCTCGACCTCATCGTCCTCGTCGTCCCCGCCGTCATCCGCCTGCACCCCAGAGCCCGAGCCCGAGCACGACCACGGCCTGCGCATGGGCCACCTCTACCACGAAGTCCTCACGCGCGTGCGCTGGGCCGACATCGCCAAGTTTCAAGTTCTCGCACACGCGCAGGCCCTGCCGCGCGACGAGTTCGTCCGGCGGGCGACGCTGCCGCGGCCGTGGAGCGCCGTCTGGGGCGACGAGGACGCGTCCGGGCCCGGGTCCGCAGCCGGGTCGACGGCCGCGGGGGACGGCGCCGGCAAGGCCGTCGGGCGGGCCGCGCTGCGCGAGATGCACGACGCCGGGGCGGAGGTCGTCGTGCTGTCGTACCGTAGCGCGTCGAGCTGCTTCATGGATACGTGGGACCTGGGGATCAAGTTTTGGGGCGAGTGCGCGGCAGGCAAGTGAGCGGCTGGTGGGTGGTGGTGGGTGGCCGCTATTGTGCGAGTTTGTGGGAAGTTCAGGCCGTAGGCCATGTGCTCATATGTGCTTTCATCAGCGAAGGCGTTGGAAATTGGAATCTCTTTCGCATCTAGTTGTGTTTGGTGAGGTGATGTCGAGGCGGGATGGGAACAGCATTGACTCCAGTTGGCGTGTAAGTGTGAGTGCGAAGTACAAAACACACTGTGCCGGCGTCTTGCGCCCCTCACCGCCCAATTCTGCCGGACATTTTTCAAACTTGTCCCCCACCGCCACCACTTTTGCTTCCTCCACCACTGGCTTGACTCCCTCCCTCCGTCCAACCTCGTCCATCGCGCCCTCACGTCGCATCGCCATCTCCCTCCTCCGTCTCGCCTGCCACACCCCTGCGCACGACCTACCTTACCCAGCGCCAAACCTCACCAAACCAAAATCCTTCCTTCGGGAGATCACAGAGCAAGCAGTCCGAAACAGCGACGAAGATGCCTCGCGAGGAGTACCAGGTCCCCACGGGCGCGGGCGCCGCCTCCGGCGCTCGCGGCGCGACGCACGACACGCACGCCTCGGCTGCGGGCGGCGGCCGCTCGGCCATGACGTACCTGTGCGGCGACTGCGGCGGCAGCGTGACGCTCAGCAAGGATGCGCTGGTGGCGTGCCCGCACTGCGCGGGCAGGGTGCTGTACAAGGAGCGCACGAAGCGGTGAGTTTTTCTCTCCCTTTACCTTTCCCCCTGGCTCTTCTGTTACTCTGCTCGCACGTCTCTGGCCGCGCTGGTTCGTGGACGCCGAGAAGGGGGGAAGAGTCTGAGCGTATTCGCGTGGAAGTGGTTCGCTGACAAATGGGTGTGCAGAATGGTTCAGTTCGAGGCGCGATAGACTGAGAGGAGATGAGCACAATACGAGACGGGAAACAAGCAGAGTCAACACGGGCATGGGTCGAGGACTGGACCATGATGACAGACGGGGGTGACGGTGTTTGGAGTTTGACAGGGCATTCACGGGAGTCATTCACAGCTGAAAAGCAGCAGCATTTACATATCAAAACGCCTTTTCGGCATCATCATTATTTTTTGTCTGTCCGTAGACTTCTGAAACCGGCATCTAAATCGACAAGAACCCATTCCTGTTGTCCTAAAACCCCAAACTCCGATCCATGAGCCAAGTTCTAGGCGGCTTCACTGCCGCTGCTTGTGCAGGTACTTCGCGAAGCTCGCGTCCGCGACGATGGAGTCCTCGTTGTCGCCCATGGCCGCATTGTACCGCTCCTGCAGCCCCTCCTTCTTGATCTCCTCGTCCGAGTCGTCCGAGTCGTTGTCGCTGGCCACGTCCACGTCGTCCGAGTCGTCCGCCGCCTGCTGCTGTGACTGGGACTGCTGCTGCTTGTCCACGGACATGCCCTCCATCATCTTGCCGAGCTCCTTGTCACGCGACGCCTGGCGCTGGTTCTCGCGCTCCGCTCTCCGCCGCTGCAGCTCCGGGTAGTAGTCCTGCATAAACTCCTGGCGCTTCCCCTCGACGGCCTCAAAGAACTCGTCGATTCCCGTGCCCATAAAGGAGCTCACGCCGACCATGCTCAGGTGCGAGTAAAACTCCTCGAGCATGAGGCTCATCGAGTTGAGCAGGCTGCCCATGTACCCGCTGCCGCCGTGGCCGCCGCCCTCGACGCCGCCCAGGGCGTCCGACTCTTCATCGCGCTGCAGGGCGGCCTGGAAGGCCTCGAAGTCCGTCATCCACTCCTTGGCGAACGAAGCATCTTTGACGTCGGTCTTGTTAAAGACGAGGATCATGGGCAGCTTCGTCTTGTAGAGGATGGAGCACGCGTAGAGCATGTTTGACATAAAGGTCGACGTGGAGGCGGTGCGCGGCGTGTCGATGACGTAGGCGATGACGGTGGGGAAGCTCGAGGCCAGGGACTCGAGCAGGATGGTGCCCGAGGCGGACCAGACAAAGGCCTCGATCTGGCCGGGCGTGTCGACGAGGATCTTCTCGATGGGCTTGCGGTCGGGCTTCTGCGGGTCGGGCTGGGCGCGCTTCTCGAGCAGGTTCACGATCTGGTCGACTTTTGTGGCGAAGAGGTTGAGCGACGTCAGGATGCCGCCGTTGGGCCCCAGGTTGTACTGCTTCATGACCTCCTCGTAGTTGACCGAGTCGCGGATGTCGATGTTGGACTCGAAGGGCACGGACAGCACCGCCGGGTCGAGGTTGATGACGTACGGGGGCGTCTGCTTCTCGTGGAGGTGCGCGTTGATGCGCTGCATGAATGTCGTCTTGCCGGAGCCTGTATGCACGCGAAGATCAGGGTGAGCGGCGGGCTTCTCTCGTGGGATGCGACGCAGAGGGAGCCTGACCTGCCATGCCGACGCAGACAATGGCCACCGGGGGCGGCGAGCCCGAGGCATCGCCTGTTGACGACGAGGACGCCATGAGGGATGTGTCTCTGACGGCCGCGCGCTTGTGTTTGTGAGATGGCTGTGGGAGCGCGCCGTCTCTGTTCGTGTGTGGTGGTGATGCAAAGGGAAGTGGAAGCTCTGGCGGGCGCTCTCCAAAAATTTGGCGGCACCCGACGTCAACTGCCCCGCAGCTGCGGCCGCCGCCCCTCCCGCGACGATGACGGATGCAGCGCAGCTTAACTTTGCCCCCAACCTGAGCTACCCGGCACTTGAGCTGCTTCCCGACGTCCACCATCGCGACACACTTCGCCCGGCCCCCTCGTCCACGATTAGGTAGAATCACTCTTCCCGGATAGTCAAGAAGAGTAGGCACATGTACTGATCCTCCAGAGCTCGGTATTGCCATTGCGCCTCCGCTGTGGAGTACCTCACACGAAGCCTCTCATCTCTCCCTAATGACACACTTGTAGCTTCCTAAGCCCTGAACAACCCATTCGTCGCGTTCAGTGACCAGCCTCGCATGCCCTCGCCCTCATCCACCGCCGAGCCGATCTCGGCATTAGCCATCCGTGCCGCTGCTACGGAACGTTGCGCACAGCGCCGCGTAGTGGTGCGTCAGGTCCAGCACGTTCTGCGGCAGGCTCGTCGCCTGGATGATGCTCCGCACCTTGACCGCGCCCTCATCCTCGATCAGTGTCCGGATCGTGTGCAGCAGCTCCGGGCTGAACTCGCTATACCACCGGTATTGCCACGTCACCAGCCGGATGACCGACGCCACCGTCTCTCGCGTGCTCTTCGTCTTCTCGAAGACGCGCAGCACGCCCGCCAGGGCCTTGGGGCTGAAGCGCAGCGACAGGCACGCCCGGTACGCCTCGACAGCCTCGTCCAGATGCTGCAGCCGCTCTGCCAGCGCTCCCAGAATCTCCCATTCCTCTGCCGACTTCTTGTACTGCATCTGCTGTGCGCGGTACTGCGCCATCTGCGTTCGCCAGATCGTGTACACCCGCAAATCTTCGTACAGCACCATGAACAGGCTGTCCAACCATCTCTCGCACAGGCGCTTCGTGTTGAGCTTGGATAGGTGCTCATCGTTCGAGGTGTTCTGCCGTTCGTTAGTATTTACGCTCTCCTCGGCAATTGGGTATGGGCGTACGTTATCGCTGTCCGCTTTGACCTCCTGCGGACCAACAGTATTCGAGGGCTTCTCGAGTCCGTTGCTGTGACCATTGGGCGCCAGCGTCTCCTCGTTGTCCTCGGTCTCGTCGGCTTCCTCGTCTCCGTTCTTCTCGTCCTTCTCCGAGTCCTCAGCCTCTGTTCCCTCCTTCTCGTCCGTCGCAGCCGTCTCACCGCCGTTGGCGGTGGGATCCGGTGTACCGCGCAGGCCATCCAAGCTCGGGCTTCGTTTTGAAGGCGCGCCGGTCGCCTCCTGCTTCTCGGTCCGGTACTCGTCTTCCATGACAAAGACGTTGCTTCGAATTTTGAGAAGCTGGTCCCAGCCAATCTTGGCCGTCATTTCCGTCAGGATCTTGTATGCCTCCTTGAACGTTCCGCGGTACGCCGCCGCGCGCAGCCCGAGAAGGCTGCCGTCGACTTGCTCCGAGAACCGAGACTCTGGCTCGCTGTCGATCTCGTCCAGTCTCGTCTCCGGCAGGATGGGAAGATGCACCTCTTTCGGCTCGGGCATGACGGGAGTATCCTTGTCCTGGTATGTAAACATGGGGCAGGAGTTGAGAGTCGTAAGAGCATTCTCCCAGTCCTCCATCGCGACATAGACCTGAGCCAATCGGGCCCACGTTCCGAACTCGCTCGGCGCGGCAATGGTGCTGCGGTCGGCGCAGCCCAGGGCCATCCGAAGCCGCTCCTCCTTGACCTCTGGCGTCTCTGCCTTTTGAGCCTTTTTAATGAGGAATTCTGCTTGCGCGTCGAGCATGACATAGTCCATTGGCGTCTCCTGCAGCGAGTGGTAGAGCGTCTTGACCCCTGAAACTTCTTCATTACCCATAAACAGGACCTTGGCCAGCAGGGACGATACTTCGACGCTCTGCGTTCGAAGCTTCTCGAACAGGTTGATTCCAGACGCGTATCGACCGGTCGTTTGGAGGTATTTGAGGAGGCCCGTGGTCAGGTGGTTCGAGACGTTTGTTGGGACCTGGACCACGGAATCTGATCCCAGCTGCCAACCTGAAGAGAGTTAGTTCGAGCAGCTCGATGGCGTCGACGTGCATACCTCGGAAGAAGAGCTGCTCAGCAGCGTGGAGGAAGCGGTGTTCGGTCTCGGTGTTGGTCACGGGGTTGAAGCGGCGGACGCCAACGATGCGCCGAATCGTATCGCCGCTGCCGTCGTCGGCGTAAGAGTATGCCCTGAGGACGCTGCACAGATACGTCTCCAGCCAGAGCTCGTCCGATGCCTTTCGCTTCTCGCCTCGCTCGTCAACGCAGTAGCTCTCGACGGTGCCAGGGATAGACACGTGCACGCGCATGTCCAGGCGTGAGAAAGCATTGTAGCAGCTGAGCGTCATCCGTCAGCAAGTGGTGCACAACAAATTGAGCCACAAAACGTACCAATACACGCCTTCAACAATCTTGGAGGTGGCATTCGGGCCGTTATCCTTGTAGGTCAGGGTATTGATGTACGCGGCGAGACTCGCGGACGAGGAGGCGTCGACGCCGGTCACATGGTGATAGATGCCAGTCTTGACGAGTTAGAGCTTGCACCCTCAGCCGCATCTGCTCAAGGGGGTCATGTAGTACCTGCTTGCCAGAATTGCGCACGCCTTGCTTGACCAGGTGGACGAGATCCGGCGGGCCGAGCTCCCGCAGCGCAACAAGCGACTCCGTTCTGGCATCGATCGACTCGTGGAGGACCTCTTCGGTCAGGCTGAGAGGGGATTAGCAATGCGCAGGTTGGGCCGCTTCGCGATAGGTGTTCTCACTCGGGCACTGCTGGCGCGACCATGGTGACGAGGCGCCCTCAGGAGTCGCGAGAGCACGACGGGCAGTAATTGGCAGGGTGTTCGCGAGCGGGTACGGTCGAGGGGATCGAATCCTGACGCGCGCGGTTCCAGAGTTAGGGACGGGCAGCGAGACCGTGCATCGAGCGAGGTTGGACGCGGCTGGCGCTGAGGTGAATGAAGCAATCAAGATCTGGCTCGAGAGGAACTCGAAGCTCACATTGGTGGTTCGCTCAGGAACGAGTAGGGAGGTACCCCACCGTACCTACTCGTTCGTAGCGCCGTCTGCACCGCGAAGGTCAAGCCCCAGCCTCGTGACTGCGCCACTGCGCGACACACGTGGCAGCGACGGCTTGCCGGCGACCTGAAGCAGACGGGAGCCAGCCAGGGCGATTGCAGGCGCGCAACCTGGCCTGGGTGGGGCACTTCCAGTGGGCGTCGACAGGTGGGCAGAGGATGGAAGGTACCTGTAGGTACCTTACCTGTCCGGACAGCGGCCCAGGTGCCTTGGCCTTTGTCCAGCACTCCACTGAAAGCCCGTGCACCCAATGGAAGGGCAACCTGGAATGCACGCCGGACGGCAGCCCGGGCCGGGACCTTGGGGTGCACCTCAACCTGGAAGCCTGGAGGCCACCTTACCTGGGCACTCTCTGTGCCGGGCACCTGTGGACAGGGGACAACCTAGCCTACGGCGCCACGCGCTAGCGCACTGGAGCAGCGGCTGCGCGGGACAGGCTACGGCAGTGAATCTATCTCATCGCGTCGCGCTTCGAGCAGGTCGCCCATCAATTTAACTCGCGCCTCTTTGTGCATGCCGCCATCATCTGCTTTCTTGAGCGACGCCCGGCACAGAGACGCTGAGGCTCGCCCTCCGACCTAGGCAAGACGCATGAGCCGCTCCTTGTGAGCGTCCGTCTGCGACAATGGTACGCCCCGTAACCGCTTCCAGTTCGCTTGCGCCAGCTAACGAGTCGCTGCAGCCTGCCTTTCAGGCCATCAACCTCGAGCCCGAAGAGAATGTCGACGAGCAGATTGATACCACCAAGGAGCTTCATGTCCGTCGCACCAGCTCACTGATATATCTGACTGCCGCTGATGCCATCTAGGTCGACGAGGCCCTCAAGCGCTTCCAAACCGCGCTGAAGCTCCATGCCCAAGGCCCTCGAGCTCGCGAAGCAGCCGCCGCTGCCTACAAGGAACTCTTTGCGTCCGAGATATTCGACTATAGAGAAGCGAGAACCGACTACGAACGCGCCGAACGACAGGCTGATGGCCGCCCCGATGTGTCTGCTCTCGAGTCCTTTTACGCCGGCCTAGACATTGACGCTGGGGGAGCCGATGGTGTTGCGGCCAGCCTGTCGCAAGCTCTATATCTTTCGTACAAGAACTACGGCCAGTTCTTCCTTGATAAGCTCAAGGATGAGTGCAAGTCGGACCCAGAATGGCAGAAGAAGATTCGGCTGCGCTACAATGACGAGCTAGCGAGCAAGGTTCTCGACAACTGGACGGCCGCGCTGGACCAGGATCCCTCGGACCCGGAGCTATGGAGGAGGGCTGCTCGCTTCGCGGCTTCCATGAACAGCGGCCGCATCAAGCGATACTGCTTGGAGGCGGCTGTCGAACTGGACGATGACCCCGCCATCATGGAGGTTGAGCCGCCTTCCCTAGCCGAGGGGCTTGCTGGTCAGCAACTGAAGGAACATCTGCAAGTGCTCGACGACAACATGTCCCTGTCACACCCCGTGATGGCGCCATGGCTCAACATGGAGATGCCGGCCCTCATCAAGCGACACTTGGACCCTATCCCTTTTCTGCCCGACCCGACCTCGACCCTGACGCCGCTACCTTCGGGCGCCGAACCACCGAGAGCTATCGGCGATGGACCCGAAGACGGCCAAGAGTCTGCAAACGAGGATGTCGCGGAAGCCATCACAAGCTGGCCAGACTTTGGTCTCGAACTAATGAAGTGTCTCCAGGATACCAGCGGCGCCTTGCATGCCTGCCGGCAGGTGCTGAAAGCAGCCCAAGAAGACGCGGACATGGCCGAAGCCGATGAGCACAAGAAAAGTCAACCAGACGCAGAGACCAGCACCGCCGACGAAAAGTCAGCGGAGGCCGACGCAAAAGAAAAGTCGAAGCAACTGGAGCGACAGACATCCAACATCACCGACGAAGGCTCAAAGGCGTCTGAGCCATCGCAGAAAGAGCGCGAAACCTCCATTTCCACGAGAAAGAGATCCCAGTCAACAGCAGGACTTCCTGAGGCGACCGAAGACAACGGCGCCGAGAAGCGTAGCAAACGTGTCCGCAGGCGAACCGAGACAAAGGACCTCGAGGAAACCACCGACCCCAGCACCCTCATTGCCAACCAAATCCAGCCGTACCAGGAAGTCGACTCAAATCTATTCCAGATGACGAAAAACATACTGGAGAGCCTCGGCGTCGAGGACAAAGACACCCTTGACTGCCTGCAGGAGCTGCTAGACTCTTGTACCGTCGAGGACAGACCCTCCAAGGTCACGCGGCGGGGAGCCTTGGACCTGCGCAGCATCATGACCGGCTTCAGCGAGGAGACAGCCATGGTGCTGCTGAACAAGAAGGAGCAAGCGACTCTAGGTCTTTCATCATTCCTCGAACACGCCAAATCAGGATCCCAGGAGAAGCCCCAAGTGCCGCCCTTCAAAGAATCTCAGGGGCTGAGGAAGTTTGCCGAGCGAGTGTCCAAGCACCAAGACTGGATGACGAGCGATGACATTGCTTTTGAATGGGTGCGGTCCATGAGCGAGAGTTACGCCGATTCGAAGTGGTCTGACCCCATGAAAGTCGCTGTTGTTCAGATGCTCAACCGCGCGGATGCGATACTTTATGAGCGCATCATTGGGCAGTTTGAGATGTTTGCCGATGCGCCGGACAGGCTGACAGACCTGGAGACGCTGGTGCCGATGCTGTTCGAGCTGCATCTCGACATATACGAACGAATCACGAATCCCAGCAGCGCGGTCGACTATGCCACCCGCATGGAGACCAAGTACCGACTGGACCGTTGGCTAGACGTCGCCTCGACCTATGTGCGGCTGCTTGGTCGTCCTGACCAGGATCCTCTGTGCGTGCGGTTCCTTTGGGCATCGGTATTGGCCTCCTCTCTGGCAGATAATCCAGTTCGGGAGCACATCCTGTTGCTTTGGACATCGCTCCGCGACTTCTTGACTGCGGAAGACATTGCGCAGGTCGACTTGCCAAACAACGTGGTCATGCCGACCATCTCAGCCGCTGCCGCGGATCGCGAGATCTCCAAGCTCACAACCATGGACTTTTTCCTTGGATTATTCCAGGAAGAGATGGAGGATCCGGTGCACGTCATTGAGACTCTGGAGCCTGTTCTGAACCCGTCATCAGTCTACATCTCGAAAGAGTCGCCTAGAAGCTCGGCAGGGCCCGATGAGACGTCACCGGAAGACAAGCCAGTGGATGGACCTGACGAGCAGTCGGGAGACCAAAAGCCAGTGGATGGGCGCCCCATATCGGAGTGTGCAAACCAAGGGCTCCGCGATCTGTGGAAGTTCTTGCTCAATAGCAGCACGGAGCTGCGGCTCTTTCTGTGGTCACGGCTGGGAGACGCTTATGCCAAGATCCAGTATCCCACGAAGCGGTTCTCGTGCCTTCTGAAGAGCATCGAGATGATCGTCGCAGACCTCGAAGGGGACACGTACGCGCAGACGCCGGACGAGTCTCGCAGGCTCCTCTTCATGAGGACTCTGAAGTCCCTCGACGAGCTGCTCATCCAGGCCCTCTCCACCGCGCTCAATGACGGAAGTGCCTTTGACATCATCGATGACGATCACATCCGATCCAGCAGCTGTGCCATTGCAAAGGTCAGCTGTCTGCTTCATGTCGCCCCTCTGTGCGAAGACGAGGCCCGGATCGGCATGACCACCGCCCCCTCCAACAACAGCACCTTCATGAGCCTTGTGAACAAGCTGCGAGAGATGCAGGTGCGCGCCTGGTCCCTGCAGTACACCCTGTTCAAGGCCGCGCTACCCCAGCAGGAGAGCGTCATCTCACCTGAGAACGACCTGGCCGACTTTCTCGCCGCGGTCCATCGAGCCATCGGCCTGCGCAAGTTCTGCAAGGCGTCCAACAAGATCTTCTTGAAGATGATGCGCCTCGAGCTGCTGAAGTTTAAGAACATTGAAAACTGGGAGGACCATCTCGGCCAGGTACTTTATGACCTGCACGGGCTTAAGCTGGGCGTCGGCGTCTGGGAGGTGCAGGACCACGGCTGTCCCTACGACAAGCTGGAGAAGCGTCAGTCCATGCAGCTGGTGGAGAAGATCATGACACTTGCGAATCGCATGCCCATGAAGGACCTCCTCAAGTCCGACCTCAAGACCACGATCGAGCACATGCAGCAGACCATTGGGCAGCCCAAGTCCACGCCGCAGATGTACCACAACCTACGCAACTTCACCGAGATTCTCAAGAAGCCCATCCACCCGCTTCGCCTCTACCAGGCCCTGTCTGGCGGCGTGGCGGTCGACTCGGTCACCGCCAATGTGCCCGAGGCGGCGCTGGCCAAGTTTGGCTGGTTCTTCCTGCTAGGCATGATTGCCTTGACCAAATTCAAGGGCGTCGACCTCAACCGCCGCCAGACGCCGGGCGCCACGGATGATCTGCGCATCGGCGCGACGTTTCTGCGACTGCAGTTGCAGTTCACCGCGGATAACTGGGAGGCATGGTTTCGCCTTGCGGAGTGCTTTGATTACGAGCTTGACGAGTCGGTGCTCTGGTCGGCGGACAAGATGAACAAAGACCGCGCGGAGCTGGTCAAGTTCCAACGCAATGCCATCCATTGCTACACGCTGGCGCTGTCCCACTCGCGACACTTGGAGATTGGCGTCAACGATAGCGACCCCCTGCACGATCTCTACCACAAGTTCGCCATGCGCTTGTATTCGTCGAGCCGCGAGCCCTTTGCCATGGAGCCTTTCAAGCACTCGGACCAGGAGCGTTTCTTCATAGAAAACATGGGCGCGGGCACGTTCAAGAAGATCCTCCATGACGAAATGTCCGAGTACAAGGTTTGGAAGTTTGCGGCCAAGCTCTTCCGAATGGCCATGGCGCGGAGGCCTGCTAACTGGAAGAACTCGTACATGCTGGCCAAGTGCTACTGGAAGATGTTCCAGACGCCGGAGGAAAAGCTGGACGTGACTGACCGGAAGGCGAGGGTAACGACGACTCTAGTCGTTGACTCTCTGAAGAAGTCGATTGAGGTGGCCACCAACGCCCAAAAGTCACGCCGCAGCGACCCCATCCTGGAGCCACATTACAAGATTGCCTCTGTCCTGCACAAAATGGTCACCCGGGGTGACATGCCTGCAAAGGAAGCAGCAACGACGCTGTCAGAGCAGCCATTTGGTGTGCCGCTGTACCCCGAGGACCACTATGCGGCCTTCTCCGAACCAGAAGACTGGGAAGAATACATTATTCGCAACCTTACCAAGCTCCGCGACAAGGACAAGTCTAACTGGCACCATCGGATCGTGATGCGGCACGCCCGGATCCTGTTCGAGGAGGGTAAGTCACTCAACGAGGGCGAGGGCGATGGCTTAGTCGAGGCCAAGGCTGCCTTTGCCATCCTCAAGGAGAACATGTTCACCAAGACAATGGTCATGAATGTGTGGAAGTGCGATGCCGAGCGGCCGGGCCGACACTACGTCTTCACAGAGCAGTACGTGCGCTTCATGACGAAGCTGCTCCTCATTATGGATGACCGCACCAACCTCGAGCTTTTGCTCCGACGGCTGCGAAAGAAGGGGGCCGACTTTTACCACTTCACGGACCTTTGGGCAACCTGCTGCATGGCTTACATCAAGCTCCTTCGCGCCGCCTACAAGGTTCCGCCGGCCTCGGATGACGCATACAAATCGCTGTCGACCGAGGAGTTTGAAATCATCAGCGAGCGAATTACGGAATGGGCTGCTGGAGATGGCCCTCACATCGAGGAGCTCGCCTGTATGAAGGAAGCAGTGGAACTGAAGAAACTGAACGTCAACCTCATGAAGGCGACGCCGATCGACGACCTCATCAACGACTGCTACACCAAGATCTACCTCGACGTCGCGCCCACGCTGCCTGGGGTGGAGCCGAGCAAGATCATTGCCGAGAGGAACCACGCCAAGGAGGTCGCCGCTCAGCTAGAAGCCGTCGCGCAAGCCGACGCAAAGCAGCCCAAGTCTTTGAGCAGCCTGCTCAACCCAACCAACGGGCAAGACAGCGCGGCAGGAAGCGCCACACCCCTCGACGCCGACAAGTCCGAGGCTGCGCCGCGGGCCAGGAAAGGAGTGAGGCGACCTGACATCCTCCGCAAGGCAGAACAGGCCGTCGTCCGCGCGATGGAGATGCCGAAGCCGGTCACGACCAAGAGCCGCGTCGGCAGCATGTCCAGCAAGCGCGGCAGCCAGACCCCAGCCATGGCGCTCAGCGATGCCGGCAGCGACGAGGACGACGATGAAGGCCCTGACGCTCAGGTTCGTCGCGAGGCGGCGGAGAACCTCGACGAGGAAATGCCGGACGCGGACGGGCACGACGAGGCCGAGGACGACGGTCACGATGACTCTCGGGCCGACAAGGAGCACGACACGGAAGTCGGCAGCATCCACGACTCTGCAGACGACGAAAGCGACTTGAGCGATGTTCCCGAAGGCTACGACGAGGAGGTCCCGCCTGGTCTTTTGTTTCCCAATCTGAGCCGAGCCCACGAAAGCGGTGAAACGAGCGGCGAAGAGGCTGGCAGCGAGAGTGAGGGCGAAGGCGGAGACGAAGCCGAAGAAGCCGATGAAGACGAGGCTGAGGAGCACGAGGGTGCCGAAGGGGAGCACGAAGAGCAAGAGGGCGAGCACGAGCACGAAGACGAGGAAGACGGCGGCGACGTGGAAGACGTTGCGCACGAGGATGAACGCGAGGACGAGGAGGAGGACGACCCCGAAGATGAGCATGTGGATGAGCACGAGGACGAAGTCGAGGGTGAGCATGACGACGAGGAAGAAGCCGAAGAGGTTGGCGAAGACGAGGACGATGAAGAAGACGTGGAGGGCGAGGACGAGGATGAGGCCGAGGAAGGGGAGGAGGAAGAGCTCGGCAACGACGACACCGAGATGGGTGAGGCCGACGCCGAGGACGGCTCAGACCAGGACACGACCCAGGCGTAGAGCATGCCTGGGCTGCCTGGATGCCGCATGGGTTAGATGGCCTATGGTCGTGGCACGCGGGGCGTTTAGGCTGTACAGTAGATTGGGATTTGGGCTTGGCGGAGGCCAAAGCGGCCAGTACCGGATAGGATGGCAGGCGTATGACATGTTTTATGAGTGTATACTAGGAACGGCGCGGCACGAAGAGCCTTTGCCGTAATTGCCAGCTTTGTTCGTCCCTTTGCCCTCCTCTATTGTCTGTCGTCCATTGCCAAGTGAGCGGGGCCACCTAGATCGTGGTACAGAGCGTGGACATGTGCCAGGCTCTTCCGTCTGGGAGTTACCTCACCCCGTTCGGCCTGATCAATAAAGTCGCATGGATGAACGGACGATGCCGTGATTCCGAGTACCGGGGTTCGGAGAATGAGTAGAAATGAATGGCTCGGCGGCAGGTTCATGCGATGTGAGGAGCTTCTTTGCGACCTCCCCACAATGGTGGACTCAGGTAGGAGAACGGTACCGTGGTGTGTTTGTGCTTGGCGGCGATGTGGTGGGCAGCGACGAAATAAATATGACGGACCGAAAAATCACGTTTGATGTTATGCGCGCTTTGGGCCTGCCGTGCTATATTTCGCCGGTTGGAGATGATGGATCCTACGTGTAATGAGTGTAAGCGCACGGATTTTTCTTTGGCGACCGGTAGTACTGCAAGTCTTGGAGAGGTATCAGCTGTGAAGGGGGGGGGGGGTGTAGCTGTGTTCCCGGTACGCCCGCCACACAGTTGAGGCACGGGATGGTGAGCATCGCAACATGAACATATACGCCGCCGCGTTCCCGACCGCGACGCAGTCACCCAGCCATCATCTTGTCTAACCGGCGGACGAGGAACTCCAAGGGAGGCATTGAAGCACATGACTGACCGTTCATGCGTGGGGAGGATCCGATACTGGTCCCTCGCCTACCTCAAGTGGAGAGAAGGTACGGCATGCCCAAAGACGGGGTTTCCATGGTACGGGTATGCCATCAAATGCCATGCACGGTTGTGAGAACCAAGGCACCAGATACGGCAGTGCGCTGTATACATGTATGGTGGGCAGGAACTCTCACGACGTGCTTATGGTACTCACGGTGGATGCGAGTGGTACCGCGTATAAAGGGGCCAGATAATCTCGCGATGAGATGGTTCATGTTGCCGTATGATGTTTGAAACCTCGGGACGTACAGATGTTTCCGTGATTACCGTTTCGTCTCGTCTGCTCTAACACCTTCGTTACTTGGTCCGACACTCTGAGCAACGTTCACCGTCATGCGCATGTTTCGCAACTTTGTCAAAGTCGTGAGCCTCCGGGTTCTCGCCGCGCTGGCGCCCGTGGGCGCGCAGTTCCGTGCCAGTCGCGGCGGCGGCAATGGCGGGGGCATTGTGTTCCCAGATGTACACGGCGAAGCCGCCAGTCTCGATTTCCGTAGGTCCACCGTCCCCTTAAATTCCCATGTCCCAGCCGGCTCTCACTGCCCTGTGTTCTGATGCTCACCGTGTTGGACACCGCTGCCTCTGAGACAGCCCACCTCCAAGATATATACACCTTCGCTGCGTACTCGCACGCGGCGTACTGTCCGCACAACTGGGACGGACTGCTCGGCAACCCGGTGTGTCAAGCAACCGCGACGCCTCACCAGCAGGGTGGCGGCGAGGATACCGACATTGGCGTCAACAACACCAGCAGCAGCAGCGCAAACCCAAGGCTGGATATGACCCTCATGCGCACCGGCTGCTCCATCTACGGCGCTTCCCAAACCATCGCCGAGCTCACCGAGGCGCACGACATCGCCGGCAACGTCGTCGTCAACCACCCGCAGCAGCTCCTGGTGGTGGCCTTTCGCGGCACGTCGCGCGCGTGGGAGTGGATGCGCGACCTGCAGGCCGGGCAGGAGGACGTATCCTCGTCCCTGTCGTCGGGGCTGATAATGGGTGACCGACACTGCGAGGGGTGCCGCGCACATAGGGGCTTCCTAGCTGCGTTCCGCAACGTGCGACCGCTGCTCAACGAGACGCTGGAGACGTGCCTGCGCGACTGGCCGACGTACCGTGTCGTGGTCACGGGGCACTCGTACGGCGGTGCGGTGGCCACTCTAGCGGGCGCGTATCTGCGCTCCGTGGCGGGCGTGGAGGCTGATGTGTTTACGTATGGGGCGCCGAGGGTGGGCAACGCGGTGTTTGCGGAGAGGATGAGCGCGGGGATGGGGGGCAGGCGAGGCTCGGGGTCGGGAGGTGGGAGTGGAAGCGGGAGTCATAGACTGAGAAAGGGGACGAAGACAAGGGGGGCCGAGAACGGGGGTGAGCGAGCAGGAGGGCCCGTCACGGTGCGCGTCACCAACAGGCAGGATATCGTGACGGCGCAGCCGCCCATGTACATGTGGCTGCCGTCCGGGCCGGTCGAGTACGCGCACACGACACCCGAGTACTGGTTCGAGCACGGGTTTGGTCTTCTCTCATCATCTGCCCCCTCACCCCCACCGTCGTCCTCTTCCCAATCTTCAGGGTCAGCAGCGGCGGCAGTCGCCAGGGGTGGTGATGGAGGGCGCTTGCTGCTCAACGGGCTCCGAGTGTGCCGGGGCGTGCAGCATGTCGGGTGCTCTGCGCAGTTCTACTTCCTTAACCTGCTGAACATTTTGCAGCGCATCGCCGACCACGGGGGTTACCACGCTCTGTCGGCACCGTGCCCGGCAGATGAGGGGGGAAAGAGGCGCCGCGTCGAGGATGTGCTGCCGACGCCGAGGGAGGTCAAGATGTGGCAGTGGGGGGACAAGGGGAAAGGGAGCCGTGTGATGAGGGGGCAGTAGCATCGGTCGGGAATGGGGAATGGGGGTAGAAGTGTTGACAAAGTGAGAATGAGGATAGGGGGGCGAAGGAGAGGAGACGGTAGAAGCAGAAGCAGGAGGTCTCGTCACGGCACACGTCACGATTCATGAGTAGATGGGGCCAGGACGTCATGACGGCGCCTATGCAAGTTATCTCCTGCCTCCAAAGTTGATCAATCTGCGAATTTGCTGCCGGTCCATGTCACTCAGAGCCAAATACCACCGGCGTGTGAAAATAGCTCCATCGAAATCGCGAACGCCCCCCCCACGCTCTGGTTCAGTTTTCCTCGCCCGACCCATAACTCACGTTCACGTCCACGTTCACGCCGCTAATCAAGTCTGCCGCCAACTCTTTGGGAGCGGACGGCTCCCCCTGGGACAGTGACGTCAGTATATGGAACGTCAGTATATTGAAGTTTAGTATATTGGACGTCAGGATACTGGAAGTCAGCTGAAACAGATGGACATCTCCAGCCGTGTATCATTGGATGGTAGGATCCAACATGATGAGTATATTCGCTCTCAATGCAGAATGTCTGCAGGTCGTCACGCGACGTGCTATTACAGACGCCAGCGGCGGCGCAGGCATGAAAAGGTAGGTGTTGCTGGACATAGGCACGGTGTGAACGTCTGCTTCGGCTGAAAGAACCCCATACACGCTGCGCCAGAGCGGGCTGTAATGGGTAGGAGCACGATCCGTTGGTTGAACCACCCCTTCTCTATGTTGTGTGCGAGTACAAGAGCAACTCTGCATTCCAGCTTCTCAAGAGTGCGATGCTCTCATGTAGATGCCTTTCTCAGTATCCTCAAGGAGACTTCTGATTGCACCTTGGCATTTAGTCACCTCTGCCCAGGTGGAGTCCCTCCTCCGTCACGAGCCTTCCCACGTCTCCATGTCACGGTATAACCAACGTGATGCTGAGTCCATATTCAATGTTCGTCGGGGTACCATAAACACGAGTATACGTAATGGCAACCACTTCAACAGACCACAACCCAGACTGTGCATATTGGCAAGACCTTTCGGCCCCCATGGAACAACATGGTTCCAGCTATGGCTGGCCAGAGGGCGCACTTCCGTTGGCCGCCGAGTACGGGCATAGATCGCATCGTCAGGCTGCTACTCGATAATGGCGCCAATATCGACGCTGCAGGCGTCGGAAGTTGGACTGCGCTTTCATGCGCCGCCAAGAATGGACACGAGGAGGTCGTCAAGATGTGTATCGGCGGAGACGCCGATATCGATGCCACAAGAGGATAGGGGTCAATATCGGACGCCGTGTATGGGGCCCGCCGCCGAGAACGGGTATATCAGCATGGTCAAGCCCCTGCTCAAGAATGGCGTCAACGCCAATATTACGGATATCGGTTATCGGACGGCGCTCTCGTGCGCCGCCGAGAACGGGTATGACGCGATGAGCTCGACTTAGAGGATCGCGCCAGCAGTCTGACCTTCTTAGAGGGAGCGGATGGCATTGGACGCGCCCTGGTATATAAACGTAGAACTCGAGCCGTGCTGGTATATATACGAGTTCTTCACTTAAGCGACCGCGATGGTGAGAAAGCTTGCCGACCGAACTGGCTGCGATTCCATCTCATTAATTGCGGCGCATCCTTCTTGTTGTCGTGGCGCGTTGGCTGGAATACCACTTCTTCACGTTACGCAGTCGGTCATAGCAGGGGCAAGGTTGAGCACATGTAAACAACTCCACATTAGGGTATATCATAAGGAAAGGCGAGCTCCTCGCTTCTGCCAAAGCAGGCGCAGACTCGTACAACACAGAGAGGTGTTAGCCGTCCTCCTTGTCCATGTCGTCCCTCCGCCTCTTGCCGCGCTCCTTTCCACGCCCTCCTCCTTGGCCCCGGTTGTTGCGCGCCTCGGTAATGGCCTTCATCTCGACCCTAGCGTGCCGCTGCGCCTCCTCGACGCGGCCCTGGAACGCCATGACCTCCTCCTTCTCCGTCGGGTACGCCTCTAGCTTCTTGCCCATGGCGGCCTCGATCCGCTGGTACAGCTCGAGGTCGTACTGGGTGACGAGGCTCAGGGCAATACCCGACTTGCCGGCACGAGCGGTTCGGCCGACGCGGTGGATGTACGTCTTGGAGTCGGCGGGCAGATCGTAGTTGAGGACCACGTCGACCTTAGGGATATCGAGACCGCGGGCGGCGACGTCGGTGGCGACGAGGATGTCGCGGGTGCCGGCGCGGAACTTGTTGAGGGCGCCGAGGCGGGCCGACTGCGACAGCTGGCCGTGCAGCGGGATGGCGCCGAAGCCCAGCGTCCGCAGCAGGATGGCGACGCGCTGCGTCTCGAAGACGGTGCGAGAAAAGATGATGGTCGACTTGCCGGCGAACTCGTTGACCAGGTAGATGAGGTACGTGTCCTTGCGGACCTGGGGGATGAAGATGTAGTGCTGCAGGAGCGTCGAGACGGTCTGGTACTTGTTGGAGCTGATGCTGACCTTGACGGGGTCTCGCAGACTGGCGCGCTGCAGGCTTTCGACCTTGGAGCTCATGGTGGCGGAGAACAAGAAGGTGCGGCGCTCGCGCGGGATGAACTTGAGCAGCTTGTCAATGCTGGGGCCAAAGTCCATGTCGAGGAGGCGATCAGCCTCGTCCATGACCAGGTACTTGAGCGTGCGCAGGGAGAAGCCCTTTGTCTTTTCCAGGTGGTCCACCAAGCGGCCGGGGGTGGCGACGATGACGTGCGGCTTTTTGCCGAGGGCGATGGCCTGGGGCACCATGTCGAGGCCGCCGACGATGACGGCGCAGCGGAGCGAAATCATGGAGCCAAGCGCCTCAAAGGCTTGCCCGATCTGCGCCGCCAGTTCGCGGGTCGGGGCCAGGACGAGGCCAAACAGCGGCTGCGGCTTGTCGAGCAGAGCCTGCAGCATGGGAAGGGCGAACGCGGCCGTCTTTCCGCTGCCCGTCTCGGCGAGGCCGATGATGTCGCGGCCCTCGAGGGCGACGGGGATCGACTTGGCCTGGATCGGCGTCGGGAACTTGTAGTTGAGGGCCTCGCAGGCCTCGCACAGCGCATCTACGATGCCCTGGATACAGAGTTAGCAGGAGTGCCACACACAAGTTAAAGTTTAAGGATTTTTCTGGCGCACCAATTCTTTGAACGTCTTGGGCGTCTCGTCCTTTTCCTCGACGGGGACGCCATCGACGGTCGCCGACTCTTCAGTCGACTCGGGAGATGCGGCGGGCGCGGCTCGATCGGGGGCCTTGTCCTTTTTGGACTTCTTCGGGGCGGCAGGCGCATCGTGCGCGACCTTGCGCCGTTTTACTTCGCTCATTGTGCCGAGTGCATTCGCTGCAGAGGACGGACAATGTGAGTGAAGAAGAGGAAGAAGTGCAGGTTGTGTCTGTGTGGCTTTGGATGCAACGACGGAGTAAAAATTTAGCGGGGCGGGCTTATCGGGCTTATCGCGGGTCCCCGCCAGAACTTTTTTTCTGCAGCTGCATTGAGCGCCCATCACCGGCTTCACAGAGCTTTCCTCCGTCGTCCAATCCAACACCCGCGCCGACCGCAATTGCCCGCACGACAACGCAACGCAATGGCGCGCAAACGCACAAAGAAGCGCACGCATGTCGGCGCCAACAACCCCGAGACGGCGTCGGCCGGCCACGCCACCGCGCGCGACCCCAAGAGCATGGTGATCCGCATCGGCGCCGGCGAGGTCGGCTCGAGCATCAGCCAGCTCGCCACCGACGTGCGCCGTGTCATGGAGCCCGGCACCGCCAGCAGGCTCAAGGAGCGCCGCGGCAACAAGCTCAAGGACTACGTCGTCATGTGCGGTCCCCTTGGCATCACCCACCTGCTGCTCTTCTCGCGCTCCGAGAGCGGCAACACCAACATGCGCCTCGCCCTCGCCCCGCGCGGCCCGACGATGCACTTTCGCGTCGAGCAGTACTCGCTGTGCAAGGACGTCCAGAAGGTCCAGAGGCACCCGCGCGGCGGCGGCAAGGAGTTTCTCACGCCCCCTCTGGTGAGTTGCGGATGGCCCTAGCATGGAACAATACTGACACGCCACAGCTCGTCATGAACAACTTCACCTCCCCCGACGCCGACGCCAAGTCCAAGGTCCCAAAGCACCTCGAGTCCCTTGCCACCACTGCCTTTCGATCCCTCTTCCCGCCCGTCAACCCCCAGGTCACCCCCCTCAAGTCGATCCGTCGCGTCCTGCTGTTGAACCGCGAAAAGTCGCCCGAGGACGACGGCACTTTCATCGTCAACTTCAGGCACTACGCCATCACGACGCGATCCGCGGGCGTCTCGAAGCCCCTGCGCCGCATCAAAAACGCCGAAAAGTTCCTCGCCACCAAGTCCAGCCGCCAGAGCAAGATGCCCAACCTGGGCAAGCTGGAGGACATTGCCGACTACATGATTGGCGGCGACGAAGGCGAGGGCTACATCTCGGACGCCACGAGCGGCAGCGAGGTCGAGACGGACGCCGAAGTGGAGGTGCTCGACAACGCGCCCCGCCGGGTCCTGTCCACCAAGGCCAGGCTGGCGGCCGAGCAGAGCGGCGAGGCCGGGCCCGAGGACGAGGAGGAGGATCACGTGGAGCGCCGCGCCGTCAAGCTGGTCGAGCTGGGCCCGCGCATGCGGCTGCGCCTGACCAAGGTTGAGGAAGGCCTGTGCGCCGGCAAGATCATGTGGCACGAGTATGTGCACAAGAGCAAGGAGGAGATCAAGGAGCTCGAGCGGCGGTGGGAGAAGCGCCGCCAGGAGAAGGAGGCCCGGCGCAAGGAGCAAAAGGCCAACGTGGAGAAGAAGAAGGCGGCAAAGGCGGCCAACAAGAAGAGCGGCGACGCCGAGGACGAGGATGACGACGAGGACGACGAGGACGAATACTACAGCGACATGGACGTTGATGAATTCGACAGCGAGGGCCTCGCCGGGGACGCCGAGTACCAGGTCAACGAAAAGGCCGAGCAAGACGGCGAGTGGGAAGACGAGGAGGCGGAGATTGGCAAGGACATTTAACAGGCTTCATACTGTATCTACGGCGTTGGGCGGATGTGCGGAAACTTTTCTTCGTGGGTCATTTGTCGCTTCAATATCATGGCTGATGTCCGCAGCCAGGGGTCATATATTTACATTGGTATTTCCCAATCCCTCACAGCAGGTCCATGAGCTTCTCCGCCACGTAACTGATGTTGGTGCCAAAGTACTGCGGCACCGTCTGCAGGTACAACACGCCATCCTCGATGACGCACTCGTTGTACGTGGACTTCATGCTCCCCTCGTCGACGATGCGGAACACGACCTTGGCCTTCTCGACCGCCTCGTTGACGCCCTCGCGCACCATCTCATCCTCAGCCGCCTTGTTGCTCACCAGCCAGTCGCCAAACGCATCGAGGTAGCTCTGCGTAAAGTACCCCAAGTTATGCTGCCAGTCGGTGACGCCCGCGGCGGTGAGCTTGGCAAAGTTGGCCTCAAAGTTGGGCTCCAGGGCGGTCTCGCGGCCGAGCGCGCCGTCGATCTTGGCGCGCGTCTTAGCGATCTCGGGGTCGTAGGCCTCGCGGATGGAGGCGCGCGCGACAAAGGACATGGGCAGGGAGGGGGCGGACGCTGCGTTGAGGGCCTGCACGAGGGTGTCGACGGCGAGGGCGTAGTCGATGTTGGTGCCGAGGTTGCCCTCGCGGAAGAGCATCACGAGCTTGCCGTCGGGGGAGGAGACCTCGCATCCGCAGTAGGAGAACTTGCCCTCGGTGTCGAGGTCCATGGTTAGGACGTGCGACGGGCAGAGGGTGTTGAGCTCCTTGCGGCCCTCGTCGCCGTGCTTTTCGACGAAGTACTTGAGCTGGTACTCGGCGCCGGAGACGTATCTGCATTGCCATTGATGTCAGTGGAGATGCTCTGGGGTGGAAGAGATGGAAGAAGGGAGGGAGAGTGGAAGACGCACGCTGCCAGCATGGAGCCGAGTGACTCCTTGGCGTAGCCATCGACGGCGTAGGCGTAGATTTGGTTGGGGTTGATGTCAATGGTCCACTGCTCGCCGAGGATGTCGGATAGGGACTTTTCGAACTCGGGCTTTTTGCTCTCCCAGTCGTCACGGACTGTCCACCATGTAGATGTTAGCGTGCCGTCACCGTGACTTGTGGACGAACGTTTAAGAGGACATAAGCTTACCGTTCTTGCGGAGCGCCAGCGGCAGCTTCTCGACGGGAGGGAGGCGGCTCATGGTGATGGTGTTGCTAGCTATGGACTATGCTGACTGGCGTAAGGAGGATGTAAGTGGTGACGAGCGTGTAAGTGAACGTGTGGTTGTACGGTAAGGCTGACTGAAGATAACAATGTTTCACCTCAAAAGTCAAGCTTACACGGGGAGCTTATATAGTGACGTGTGACAGAGAGCAACGGACAGAAACGAAACGAAACACATGACGACAGCCTATGCACGGCACTTGCTGCACGATCCAGTCCTCAAGCGACCCCGCGGACTGGATTCAGCCCTGCCCAGCCCTCATTTCGACTTTCAACCTCGCCTACCCGCCCGCGCGCCGCGGCTTCGGCAACGCTGCATCAATCCATCCCCGACTTCGAAAGCTCAATGATGTGCAGGGTGCAAGCTCCACAACGCCTCTATTCCCCCGTCTCATTTCTCCGCCGCCAAGGCACCAGGGCCCAGACCCATCCTGCGGCGTCTCAGCCCATTGGCCCCGGCCAGTCCACTCGGGCCACACACGAGGGGCGGCGTTTTCGGGGGTGAGGCACTGAGGCTGAGTTCGGGGGTTTTGAAGAATTGCCTGTCTGGGACAGAAGGGTACCTTAGGCGAGGGAGGGTCGTTTAGACGAGGATACTATACTATGCTAGGTTCGTCGCGCGCAACGGTTCCGCGGGTGGTCGTCGTAGCTCATGGAGCTGCATTCCTCCCCCGCCACGCGCGGCGATAATAAGCTTAGGCAGGGTCCATGTCCAGGACTCGACCGGTGCCTGACAGAACCCCTATCGTATGCGGCTGATGGCTTTCCGCCCCATGTGATGAGTTTAAAACCATTGGACGAAGCGGGGGGATGCGGATCATGGGGGGGGGGCTTGCGGCGCGGCATGTGGCGGCGCGGGTTTGAGCTCTTCGGCTTCGGCACGGGCTGAAAGGAGGCTCCGACAGACTATCGACTGCGGTAGGCGTTCTTGGAGCCCCCTGGTTCCTGGCAGCGGGCGGTACGTGGCTTGCGAAGCGGGGAGGAGCTGAGCCGCAAGCGTGCGCGAGCGTTCATTGTTGTCACTGCCAATCCTGATTCCTGACTCCTTGCCGCTGCCGCCGGGACAAGCCGTCTCCGATGTGGCAATGTGTAGCGACTGGTGGCTGCATGGGGTATGGTTGGTAACTTTGGTTGGGGATGGATATGTCAAGAGGAGAGAAGGGGCAGTTCTTGGATCTGCCTTGCCATGGGACGACGGGAGCCCTAGTCGCTTGATGTCCTGGTATGCTACTGTTGATCCCTGTACGAAGTATTATCGCCGCTTACAACTCAAGTGACGACATGCTGTGATTGTTGTTGTTGAGCTCAAGAAACAGCTTCGGCCATCAACACAACAAGCAACGTTGCAAACTCGGCTCGCTTCACACCAGACACTCGCCCACTCCGCACGATCATTGAACTTGACAACGACCACACATACACCAGACCGCAGCATGTCACTGTAAGTCGCAGCAAACTCAAACCCGCAACGCCTCCTTCTAACAATCCCGCAGCCCGCTCAAAGCCCGCGTCGCCGTGCGCGACAGCTTCGACGCCCCCGGCTGCGCCGCCCGCAAGGCCATCACCGCGCTCGGCGATGGCCTCGGCCGCACCGTGCAGTGCGAGCCCGAGTGGCCGCTCCTCGTCGAGGCCCTGCAACCTGCGTACGGTCCCGCGCCCGTTGTCGAGACCGTCGCCGGGCTCGTCGAGGCGTGGTGCCGCGCCGTGCTGGAGCTGCTCGAGGGGGGCGACGAGGGCGAGGCGTGGGGCGAGACGCTGCTCGAGGAGATGGAGGGGGTTTCGCTCAGGTTGCTCCTCGATGTGAGCTGCGACCCTGTTGTAGCAGCACGATCAGAGATCATCAGATCGCTGACGGAGGTGAATAGGTCTCTGAGGGCGAGCTGCCGTCCACGTCGTGGAACAACATCAGGAAGGCCTTTGTCCTGCATATCCCGAAAACTGGTCCGGTTCACGACCCGCTCGCGCTTGTCCCTCATCTGCGCCTCAAAGCCGAGGGCGCTTTCAAGGCGCAGGGCGGCGCCGCGGCGGCAGAGGAATGGACCAGCGTCGCAGTATCCGATGGCAAGGCCACCACGGTGGCGGCTTCCGCGGCGGAGCCAACGACACTCGTCGTGGCCGGCAAGAGCAGCTACATGCCGAGCGTGACGTCCCTCCCGCCGCCAGATAAGCTCCTCCTGCGCCCGCCATACCACATGATTGTGTATGGCGGACACGAGGTGCGCGTACAGTGCAGCCACGGGCCGTCGCTCGAGTTCCTGGCGTCGTATCTCAAGAAGTGGTGTCGCGCAAACACGCGCCGCTCCGACAAGGTGAGCCCCGTGACCCTCATTTCATGTTTTCCTCCCTATATTACCACTGTTCCTACTGGGGCGAAGGGCCCTGGAGATATGTGAGAGTAAATGGCTGACGCTGAGTGCCTGAAGCTGCCGCTCGTTGCTGCGACTCTCGGCCCCAGCGCATTTGGCATATCACCGATGCACGACACGCTTACGTTGGCGTGGGCGGACCGGCACGCAGGTGACGGCTCGTCCATTTGCCTGCCGCTGCTGTTCCATCTCATCGAGGGGGCGCTGGGTTATGAGCGGGTGTACGTCGATGCGTCGTGTTGGCAGTACCGGCGTGACGAGGCGTTTCGGCAGTAGCCCGCACGACAAAGCTTGCGGTGACACCGTTCAAGACCGTACGTCTTGGAAGCAGTACCAGCCTAATAGGTACCTGATGTTCAGATACAGGAGGGGAAAGCTACCTTTAGTGCAAGCCCGTTTTCGTTCGTCATACTGGTGCATGCTCCATGTCTTGATCTTGAGTTCACAGGTTACCACCGACACGAAGCACCACTCAAGCTGAACACACCCTAATCCACGTTTTGCTGCTGTTTGAACCGATTCCACACACCTTTCAACGTCAGGAACTCTTCTTTCCTCCGCAAAACGCCGCCATCATTTTCACCTGTAACCAAAAATACACCCTCTCCCCTCTTTCCAGGAAAATGACCTTGACTCGACGAGCCCTGTCTTTCGCGTCACTAGCGGATGGACCCCCGCCATCTCCTTCTTTGTTACGCGTAAGGTCCCGCTCAACAATTACCTGGTTGCTCATTACATGCCCATTGCGAGTCTTCACCAGCGCGGTGTAATTGCACGGTGCGTCAAACCTGTACCGAACATCGTGTTCCCTCGACGGGTGCCAGACTCCGTCGTGCGCGTACAGCGGAGTGGTCAGGCCAACAGGGGAGCCATCCTTCCTGGAGATGCTGTAGTAGAGGGTCCCTGCCCGGTCCCAGCTGTGTATATTGCCTCTGAGTGCCGCAAGCGCGACGGGCTGTTTCTTCCGCATGATTTCGTGTATCGGCGCCTTGACGGTGGTGCCCCAGGACAGGGACGCTCGGCGGACCGCCTCGTTGACGCAGTTGGGATGGTATATGGGTATCACGCTGCACTGTCCTTGAATCGTTACGAAGTACGTCCACGTCTGGACAGAGCAGGCGTGATACGCAGGACACCAAAAGGCGGTTGACACCGACCTTGTATGCTTGTCCCGCGGCTTGTCATCGTTGGTGCCCGAATGGGGACCCGGAAAGGTCGGCGAAATGTCCATCGCCTTGAATATGCCCCCAATCAACGCCGAGGCTTCGAGGGCGGTGCCTTTGCTAAACGTCCATCCTGAGAGGGACGGGTCCGTCCTTGGATTCGACGCCGTGCTGTTTGCAGTGATGTAGCTAGACCCGGCGATGACTTCCGCCTTATCCTCATTCACAACAAGGTCGACCGTTATGCGCTCACGCGTGAAAATCAGCCTGTTCGAGAGGCACTCTGGAGCATAGGGCACAATGTCATCCGTGGAGAGGAACGGCGTGTCGACGCGCCATCGCTTGGGGAGCTGAGTTCGAAGCTCGTTCCTGATGTCCTGCAGGACAAAGGTGGCCTGCTCCGTCTGAGGAACAACGGCTGCCGTGTGATTCTTGGGGAAGGGGTTCAGCTTGGTGGCCCATACGCTCAGGGCGAGTGGGAGAGATAGGAAGTGATGCATCACCACCATTGCGCCTCTTTCCAGTCAGAGCCCAAAAGAGAATCGCTGTCCGGGGCTCTTATAGAACAGCAGGGAGCGGAGGAAATTGATGAAGCCCCTCGAGTTGACATCAGGGGGGGCATATAGCATTATCAGGATGCAGTTGTTGTGTGTCATCTCCACGACCTACGTTACATTGCATTGCGTGCTCAGTCAACATTGAATAGTTGCAGTTGAAGGGGAGTCACCAGGCCAAGACCGTTACCACGTCCAACATGGTGATAGAGAACACCACTGCATAGGCTAGTCCGCCGCGGCTCACATGTGTACAGCGTTGCATGACCCCAGCCGCTGCGTGTGGTTGCAACTGCCCTCATGTTGTAACTTGCGGGAGTCGCACACGATCCTATAGCGTTAGTAACATATAGCACTCATCGCGACAGCAACTGCTCACTACTTGCTGACATGTAGCGTGCAGCCAAAACTTATTATGTTCGCTTCGCATTTGGAGTCGAATCTTGGCGATGCGCCGTGAGGGCCCGTTTTCATGCTCTCCCACCGCAACCGCAGTCAACGGCAATCCACCTAGGAAGGAGCAGTGCGTAAGTAATATTGATCAGGTATATGCGCCGGCTTCCTCACGCTGATGGATTGGGTGAGGTGGGATAAACGACATCCACTATCGGTTTGACACGCGTTGCATGACTGCACTGTGCCGTTGACCACAAAGTGGAGGATCAGTCAGCGGCAAACAGGAACACGTCTACGTTTGACTGCTCTACGAGTAAATGTCTCAGGAAGTAAGCATTCAATATCTCGAGTATTTAGCTTTCCCTTACATGAGAAACGGCTGAAGCAAGAAAGCATTGCCGCGTCTCGCGGCATGGCAGTCTGAAAGGGTCTAGGGTGAGCTGACGACAACAACGCGGTTGAGAAGGTGAAGAAGATACCATCCGCCAGAGATCGATGATAAGATGATTGAATTGGTAGAGTAAAGTACGGAGCAAACATGTAACAGAAACCCATCTTGTCGTTCGTATTTAGCGTGATTGTGCCGTTTCGTTGTGCTCACCAAGGGAAGAGTACTTCGTACCTGGATCGTGTCCGTTGACAGTCTGGTGTCTCACAGGGCACTCACTACCGCGGGAACGACCTTCCTGATCAGTGCCGGACCCCTCCTCTCACTCCCAAGCCCAGCCACCTCCCAATCAGGCAATTCTGCAGATTCACTCCCCGACATCGTCCCATTTGCAGCACCGCGAACCCGCCGCCTCCAGCATGCCCAGCGGACGTTGATTACGGCTACAACTTGACTCAATCGGATCTCTCATCATGCTTCGACGGGCGGCTGGCGCACTGCGCGGAGGCGCCTCGCGACCGATGAGGCCTGGCTCACGACGCGCCTCGGCTAGAGCATCGCCCTCCTCCACCACTGGCCTGCAAAGCTCCTTTATTAGGCCTGGGTGGGCCATTGGAGTCCTCGTCGCTGGCGGAGCCGGGTACTATCTTGGCAAAGGGGACGCCCCTCTGACGGCCACGCGCGTGGCCGCTCGTCCGGGTGGCGGCCGCGTCCAGGCCCCTGGTGTCCCCGCCGACGCCTCTGAGCACGAGGTCCCCGTGGAGTCGCCCGTGGAGGCCCTCGATCTCGCAGCCGCCGACGCCAAGATCCGCAAACAGACGAGCAGCTTCGTGTTCGCCGGCGACGCGGAGGGAGGCAGAGGGCGTGTCGACGTGGTGCGCGTGTCGAGCAACAATCCCGTCGAGGATGAGTGGGCTGTTGGCTTCGGCCGTGGTATCGGCGGCGTGGGCGCGCTGTACGCCGGTGTTTATGACGGCCATGCGTGAGTGTCTCTCTACCTGGGATGAATGATCCCATCGACCACTGGCCTCATGCTGATTCACGCACGTGTAGGGGCTGGGCCACGTCTGCCGTCCTCAAGGATGCCCTGATCCGCTACGTCTCGAGCTCACTCACCAAGCTGCCAGCCTCAAGCGACGAGCCGTCAGTCGACGCGGCCATCCAAAGCGCCTTTGTACGCCTCGATGACCGCATCATGGCGACGGCCAGGCGCGCTCTCAACGCCGACTATGAGCACGGCGCCGCTGCCGCCATCCGTGCCCTGGCCCCGGCCATAGCCGGCTCCTGCGCCCTTCTCTCCGTCTACGAGCCATCATCGCGCACGCTTCGCACCGCCGTGACGGGCGATTCCCGCGCTGTGCTGGGTTCCCAGAACCCCGACGGCGAGTACGTGGCCGAGGCGCTGAGCAAGGACCAGACGGGCTTCAACGCCGACGAGTGCGCGCGTCTTGAAAAGGAGCACCCCGGTGAGCTGGCCGACGTCATCGACCCCAAGAGCGGGCGTCTCCTGGGCATCGCCGTCACGCGCGGCTTTGGCGACCACCGCTGGAAGTGGTCCAACGAGGACGTGTCGTCGGCGCAGGGCCGTTTCTTCGGCTTCGGACCCCGCCCCAAAGTCAAGACGCCGCCGTACATGACGGCACGACCCGAAGTGACGACGCGGCGGGTCTCGTCGGACGACTTTGTAATTCTCGCGTCGGACGGGCTCTGGGACGTCATGTCAAACGACGACGCGGTGGCGTGCGTGCAGCGCTGGCTGGCGGCGAAGCGGCGCGGGCGAGCCGAGGACGTGAAGCCGATGGAGTCGCGGCTGACGATCGGGCAGGGCGGCTACGGCAGCTGGAAGGCGACGCCGGATGCGTTTGCCATTGAAGATCTGGACAGCGCGGCCGTTTGCCTGGTGAAGAACGCGCTGGGCGGGCGGAGGAGGACGTTGTTCTGCGGTGCGGCGACGGCGGGCGCGCCGCAGAGCAGGTATGTGCGCGACGACATGACGGTGCAGGTGATTTTCTTCAAGGACCCATACGCGTGAAGGCTGGATGAGAGGACATGTCCCATGAGTAAGCCTTGATGCGGGCGCTGTTGAACGGTGCTTGAGTGAAGGGTCAGCATATGCGCCATTGAAGAGCGCATGAGTGAGCATCAGTAAGTATGCAGTTTCGTCGAGGGCTTATGAGTCTAAGGCAAAGACGAACTCTTTTTGATGGAGAGTGACTCCCGCAGAGATTGATTTCTATATACATATATATACATACGGATCGTCCGTCATTAGCCCTGGCTGTTTGACATGTTGTGTTCCTATTCATGAGACGTTCTACGACACCCAGTTGCCGTAGACGATGCCCTCGTAGGGCTTCAGTGTCACCCCCTTATCCGTCAGAGGCTCCCTGGCCTCAGCGCCTATGACCTTGCCCCAGCCCTCGAACCCCTCGCCGGCAAACGCCCTCTCTCCGTCGGAAAAATTGAGCAGCACGAGCGCCTTCTTTGCGCCGTCGCGGCTCGTCATGGTATACGCAAAGACGTCCTCGCCGCTGCGCTCCACGGGCAGCATCTCGTACAGGCCGTGGACGAAGACGTCGCGCTCGCGCTTCCGCACCGCCAGCGCCTCGCGCCAGTACGCGAGCACGCTGTCGGGCTTGCCCTCCTGCGCGGCCACGTTCCACTCCGGGTAGTCGTCGTTGACGCGCATCCACGGCTTGTCCGCGTCGGTGAAGCCGCCGTGGCGGTCCGCCGTCCACTGCATGGGCAGACGGCCGTTGTCGCGCGCCTTGAGGCGCATCTGCGCGAGCACGTCGCTCATATCCGCGCCCTCGCCGCGCTGCGCCAGCACGCTCTTGTAGTAGTTGCTCGCCTCGACGTCGATGTAATCCTCGACGCCCCACGACGCCGGCGCGTTGGCCATGCCGATCTCCTGGCCCTGCAGCAGGAACAGCGTGCCGCTCAGCGTCGTCAGGTACGTGGCGAGCATCTTGGCGGCGTGGGCGCGGAACCGCGGGTCGTCGCTGCCGTACCGCGACAGGCTGCGCCCGGAGTCGTGGTTGTCCATGTAGACGGCGTTCCAGCCGTCGCAGCGCGGCATGGCGCCCTGCCAGAGCGACGTGATGTTCCGCAACGTCTCGACGCGGAACGGCCGGCCGTCGCCGTACTTGTGCGCCGCGCCAAAGTCCATGTCGACGATGTCGCCCGTGAAGACCATGTTGAGCTCGTGCCGCGCGGCGGCGACGTACGACGCCACGCTGGCCTCGTCCTTGGTGAAGCCCAGCTCGCCCACCGTCATGACCCCGCCGCGCCCGTTGTCGGCGTACTTGTCGAAGACGCGCGCGCGCATCTCCTGTAGGTACTCGTGCATGCGCGGCCCGCTGGCGAACCACTCCGCGCCCGACTGGTACTCGGCGCCGGGGTCCGTGACGGCCGCGTCCGGCAGGTCCGGGTGCTTGGACATGAGGTTCATGGAGTCGATGCGGAAGCCGTCGGCCCCGCGGTCGAACCAAAACTCCATGTCGGCGTAGGCCTCGTCGCGCATGTCGGCGTTGGCCCAGTTGAGGTCCGGCTGCGAGGGGAGGAACAGGCTGAGGTAGTACTGCTGCGAGCCCTCGTCCCAGGTCCACGCGCTGCCGCCAAAGATGGACGCCCAGTTGTTTGGCGGGCGGCGCTCGCCGTTGGGGCCCTCGCGGGCGTCGCGCCAGAAGTACCAGTCGCGCTTGGGGCTGTCGCGGGAGGCGCGCGACTCGCGGAACCAGGCGTGCTGGTCGCTGGTGTGGTTGACGACGAGGTCGAGCAGGACGCGCAGGCCGCGGGCGTGGCACTCCTTGATGAGCGTCTCGGCGTCGGCGAGGCTGCCGTAGGGCGGGTGGATGGCGCGGTAGTCGGACACGTCGTAGCCCATGTCCTTTTGCGGGCTGGCGAAGATGGGCGACAGCCAGATGGCCGTGGCGCCGAGGTCGCGGATGTGGTCCAGCCGCGAGGTGATGCCCGCGATGTCGCCCAGCCCGTCACCGTTGGAGTCGCGGAAGCTGGCTGGGTAGATTTGGTAGACGACGGCGTCCTTCCACCAAGGGTCGGCGCCGTCGCCGGGTGCGCCCATGGTGGTGGCGGACGGCATAAGTAATTTGAGTATGAGCCCGGTTCAGCTGATGGATGAGAGAAGTCTTGAGATGTGAAATGGAGTGAGAATGAGAGAGAAGGGGTTGAGTTGTCTTGGATCGATGATGCGGGATGAGGGTCGACTCTCTGCAACCCAAGACTCAAGAGCTCTTATACCGCAGTCTAGTGGTTCGACAGCTCCAGTTTCCTCAACGACATCAATCACACGACAAGTCACCCAGCAGCGGACAGCGATGGGTGAATTCCAATTTGCGCACGTTCGACCCGCGAGCATCTGGCGTTTCCTCAACCCATCCGGGGAACATTGACGGCTCCAGTCGGCGTCTCGGAGCCCCGTGGGCGCCTTCGGCTCCCGTCTCCGCGCCGGTGGCCCCCTCAGCCCACCTCCAGCAGCGCCTGTTTCCCTCAGTCCCGCACCGGCGCAGCGGACGGCGCTGTTTCTGGTTTGGGGCCGTGGGTGAATTTTGATTCGCCCACTTTCCGTGATGGATGGGGGATGCGGAAGAGTGGACCGAGAGGACGGAGGGGCCGTCATCTGACAGCTCGAGGTTTTGGCTCTTGCATGTTGGAAAATATCGCCTGGGCTGTCATCGGCGAACTCGTGTCTTTAGCCAGTTCGGACACTCTTTGCCGTTACGAGAACCCCGCATGCGATTCAATAGTTCTGTGGTATTGACATGCATAGCGCGTTTGTGTGACAGGAGATCAACGTGTAGTAGTCAGGCAATGGAGTTCGAGTCAAGTCCAGTCAGCGGCGGCTCGGTGCGCCGCGCTAGCAAAACTCACTTACACGCGCTTCGAGCCAGTGCCAAGAAAAAAGTACCACGCGGAGAGGCGAATGCGTTGCACAATCAGGCAATTGCAATTGACAGGCAAGGATATGGCAATTGCTTGTTGCGTTTGACGGCTGTGCGGCGGTGTTGCACGTGAAGACGACTTATTACCTGTTGTACATGTTGGCTTCTAACTCTCTGAAGCGACTGGGACGTTCCGCGCTGGAGCGCCAGGAGGGAAAGTCGCGGACAGCTGCTTCATAACTTCCGACAACGGATGGGCACTGGAAACGTCTGTATTTCGTACTCTGCAGATTGGATGCTAGAAACATGGAACGTAAAGGTGTCTAGTCTATTGTACATGCTAACAATGCCTTCTGATGCAAGAGAACATGAACCATAATGAAGCTCGAGTGAGTCGCGTGGCCACCGAACGTATGGCCATTTCGACCAATCCCCAAAGCCCCTCTCATCCCTATGCTACTGCTCTTCGAAGCGGGTGCAAGTCCTCAAACTTGTGCTGCCCAGCTTCCCTTTGCGGCCACGCACCCTTCAAGCCCCCCCAGATCGCGACCTTCACGTCGCTCTCCTCGTACCCCTCGCTGAGCAAGCATGACGCCCCAAGCGACCCGTCCAGGCTTGGATACACCCTCGACGTGAGCGCGAACCGGTCGTTGGCGTACACCTCGATGACCGAGCCGTCCACAAAGACTCGCAGCCGCATTTCGTCCTCGCCCGGTAACAGCGCGAACCGCCCCGAGTCGGGCGTGCTGGCGCCCAGGCCTGCCAGGGACGACCGCGACCGGTCCACTGTGATGTGGCCGTCGCGCAGGTTCACGATGATCCTGGTGACTTCCTCCTCGTCCGGTGACATCCGCACGTTGAGAGTGAACTCGTCAGAGCCGGTGACGTTGGAGAATGTGGCCTCGACCTCGTAGTTCGCTGACTGGAGGCGTTCCAGGTCACGGATCGAGAAGCCGAATTGTTTGCGTCGCAGCGATGCGACCTCCTCGGCTGGTCGGATTCCAAGTGTGGTCATGACTCCGCGCTCCTTATCGACCTTCCACTCTGCTGACCTGTACTTGGCGTCGACGACAGGCCGCGCAATCTCAAAGAGTTCGCGCGGATGGCTCATGCAGCCCGCCCAGCCCTGGTTCTTGACGACTGCCGGCGTAGCCGTCTCGTCCGCCCAGCCAAGCTGCAGCAGGCGGTCGCCTTCGCCGCGGAAAATGTGCGCGGCGTAGAGCACGCCGTGGTCGAGGAGGCCATGGCTCCCAATCACGAATTTCGGCGTGTCGTCCTCCGCGAGGGTGAGCTTTCCGCCCAGCCAGGCCTCGTAATGGCAGTTGTGTCGCGTGCTGGTGGTGTCCTCTTCAACACCGAGGATGATGTAGTCATTGCCGCCGACCGTCGCGAATGTCCCACACTCAAAATTCATGCCAAACGCGAGATCGCTGTCTGGCTGTACCCGCTCGCCCTGCTTCACGTCGAGCAGGACGCCGAGGTATGTCCACCCGAGCAGGTAGTCTGTTGTGTAGAGGTGAAGCTGCGACCCGTGGCCTTGCACGCCCGAGGCGATCATCATGTACATCGTGTCGGCGCTCACGCCGCGCAGCTTAGAGAGCGACCGCCATTGCGAAACAAAAGGGTCGCGCCAGCCTGTCGTTGCCTCCATCTTGGGCGGCAGGCTGATCAAGGGGTTGCGCTCATGGCGCTGCCACGTCCTGCCGAGGTCGCGCGACACGGCCACGCTCTGCGTCTCGCACCCGGGCTTATACGGCTTGGACCAGTGAATGGGCATGTGCGACACGCTCGTGTAAAACAAGTAGAGCACGCGCTCACCGCCCTCGAGGCGCGACACGATGCTGCCGGAGAAGACGCCCAGCGGGTCGTACGAGCCGGCCGGGCCGTTCCACAGAGCGGGAGCGGTGTCCTCCCAGGTGACGAGGTCGCGGCTGCGGGCGGCGCCCCAGGCGCAGTTGCCGCCCTGCGAGGTGCCCGGGTTCCATTGGTAGCAGAAGATGTACTCGCGCGTCTCGGGGACGAAGACAGCGCCGCAAGGGTCGTTGGCCCAGGAGTGAGGCGCGATGAAGTGCGACTGCGGGCGGAACCGCCTAAATGCCAGAGCGGCGGACGGCGAGGATGGTTTGTCGATGGCCATTGAGTGAGGAAAGGCTCGACATGGAACCGATTGCGGATGTATGAGGTTGTTGAAGATCGGAAGAGACGAGGTGTGAGAGTCGAGGTCAATGTTCGAGGAGCCCTTGCGTACACGAACAATATGGATCACTGCTAGTCTGTCGTTGACGACCGGTCGAACGCTTCGGCGAAACTGGTCGCGACGATGCTTGCCTGACCTCGGCGCATGATGAGCTCTTGGCGAGGCCAGCTGTTCCTGAACATCGGCAAACCTCAGCAGTCATCAGATTATTGACAGTTTGACACCTCGGCTGCCGGCCGTGTCAGCCCCCTCCCCTGCCGCGCCGGTACGGCCTTCCCCCCGCCAAGACAGCTCACCAGATGAAACAAAACGACTTCGGGACGACTGCCGGCTGGCTTCCCCAATCACAATTCACCCATCCCTTCGGTAGCCCGAGGCGCCGGCCGGTTCGATCGTTAGTTATAACTTATTAGCTCCAAACCCACATCCGCAGACGCCACATCCGGAACCACCACCACACAGTACACACCTCGCCACCAGGCCCGGCGCCAGCGTCGAACGTCGCGGGAATAGTGACCAGTCCCTGGAATGGGCTGCCGAAAAGCCCACAAAACGCAGCGTGAGAAATTCACCCTACTGGCTCGGTGCCCGCGTTACGGCCTGCCGAGACTGGAATCGCCCTTTTTCGCTCTCTCCATTTCTCTCCATTTGATCGTTTCGGTCGCTCGCTCGCCCCTCGATCCGCAGAAAAATCAAAGGTCATGCATCTCCCCATGGGGAGCAGCAGCCCGTGTCCCAGTCACCAGATTTGTCTCCTGACAAAGCCCGGTTGAACAGCTAGGCCTGCACCCCAGACAATAGTCGCGTGGGGTGAAAGCCCTGGACCCGAGAGAAGGCGCTGCTCGGCTGGACGGCGGTGGCTGCACTCTCTGGCTTACATCGGGCAACGGGTTTGCGGGCGGCGGTTGGCAAAGCCCGGAAGCGTGAGCGCGCGATCTCGGCTCAACGCCTTCGGTCTACGTTAAAAACATCGCCTTCGCCCTGCCCGAGAAGGATTCAGGCCAAGAGTTCCATCCATCACAACATCGTTTCTTCCCTATCAACTCAACTTTACCCTATTCTTCTTCCCCTTCCTCGTGTCTTGCACACACAACACCAATGGAGAAGGATAGCTCCACGGCTGTATCACAGCCAGACATCACATCACCACCCAAGGCAAAGCAGACGGAACACGCCGAAGATGTGACCGGCATCGAGGCGCAAGAGGACCTCAAGAAGGTCGTGAGCGACGAAGCCGACCTGACGCCCCGGGAGCAGTACCAGAAGCTGTGGGCCAACCTGAAAAAGGACCGGCACTATGTCTACTGGTCACTGTTTGTCATGTCTCTCGTCTTCGGCTGGGGATATGATGCCGGTCTCTCGGGAGCCGCCATCGCCTTTCCCCAGTTCCGTGAGGACTACGGCAACTACTACTCTAACGGCGACCAATATGTCATCCCCGCCATGTGGCAGTCGCTCTGGAACGCTGCCAGCACCATCGGCCAGGTCTTTGGAGCCTTCCTCACCGGCCAGTTCGCCGACTACACCGGCCGCAGGTTCATGTTCTGCTCCGCCATTCTACTGTCCTGGGCTTCCTCGTTTGCCCTGGTCTTTGCGCCGAACCTGCCCGTCCTCTTTGTCTCGAAGCTGCTGCTCGGCTTCTCCGTCGGCATCTCGACCGTCACACCGCCCCTCTACGTCACCGAGAACGCGCCCGCCGCGCTGCGCAGCACCCTCAGCTCGCTGACCAACGTCATCATCGTGCTGGGCTTCTTCCTCTCGTCGCTGACGGGCTTCGGCTCCTCCCACATCAACGGCGCGTGGAGCTACAAGCTCGCCTTTACCATGACGTTCCTCGTCCCAACCCTGTTCGCTTTTGGCCTGCCCTTCCTGCCCGAGTCGCCGGTGTGGTACGTCAAGCGCGGAAGGGAAGAAGATGCCCGCAAGGCGATATACAAGCTCTATGGAAAGAACGTGGACATGGAGGAGAGACTCGCCTTTATTCGATCCGAGCTTGAGGCCGAGGCTGGCGCCGAGGCTATGGCCAAGCAGACGACGTGGAAGGCCATCTTCTCCAAGGAGCACCGCGCTCGAACTCTCGTTGCCGTCCTTGGTCTGCAGTCGCAGAACTTTTCTGGCGGATACTTTGCAAGTATGTTAGACCTGCAGCTTGTTGCATTCCCTTTTCTCCTACATGTATGCTGACAAGCACACAGACACATACCAGACATACTACTTCCAGCTCATCGGCCAGACCAACTCCTTCGGACTGACCGCCATTTCCTCGACACTCCAATTCTGCTCCAACCTCTTCGCCGTCTGTCTTTCAGACGTCCTCCCCCGACGACGCTCCCTCATTGGTGGCGGCACTCTCCTTTGTGGCTGGTCCATCATCATTGCGGGCACCTCCATGGCCGGCACGCAAAATCACGCCGCCAACACGGCCCTGCTCGTCTTCATGCTCACCTGGTCCATGCTCTACACCGCCACCGTGGGCTGCTTCGGCTGGGCTGTCGCACAAGAAACGGCCGCGCAGGCCACGAGACCCAAGACCATTGCCTTCTGCCTCGTGTGCCAGCAGCTCACCGCGCTGCTGCTGTCGTCCGTCTTCCCCTACTTCATCAACCCTGACCAGCTCAACTGGGGTGGCAAAGTCATGTTTCTGTTCGTGGCGTGCGAGGTCGTCATCCTCACGGGCCTGTTCTTCTTCCAGCCGGAGACGAAGAACCGCACGTACCACGACATTGACATGCTGTTTCAAGAGAAGGTTCCGCCGCGAAAGTTTGACAAGTTTGTCGTCCGCGACGGTGTTGTTATGAAGAAGAAGCATGCCACCTAGATGGCGCGCATTGGAGAAAGATGTAACGGCGCATACGGACATAAAAAAGGAAACAGAACGTTGTTTTAGATGCAGCTACACGTTTACAATATAGCAGATCATGCAGATCGTAATTACCGCGCCCAGACGTGTGCTTTCCATTTTCATCTGTGCATATAATAGACATCTATGCAGCGTTTGCCACGGTTCTCACGGGATCGGACTCCTGCCTTTCGCCGCAGCAGTCCTGACTGCTTGGTTGGCGACAGGAACACAACCGCTCCATCAATGGCAGCACAGCGCCGCACCATATAATCGTAAAAACAACCCATCCCGTGCCGAATAAGAAGCCATGCGTTTGCTTGAACTGCGGCGCCTGCGACACCGGAAACATGGTCTGTTGGGCGATGGTACCGAACGTGCTGGTCGACTCGTGTTAGAATTGGACCGAATGCGACCAAGCGACCAACACGAAGTGGGAGAGAAACGGATATGTACTCACAATCCGATCGAAGACATGAGCGCCGAGGAAAGCGCTCTCAGGACCTTGTCGCCGCCCGAGCACGAATTGAGCCACGAGCCCATCAGAGGCCCAATGGCGCCATAGGCACTGCTGACGTAGAATGCGGCCATGATGGTGCTTTCGCTGGCAGGCCAGACGCAGAATATGATGTAGCCGATCAACTGCACTACGGCTAGGGCGGCAATGACGACGGAGGTATCTTGTAGGTAGTCTGCCGTGAAAGAGCTGAGTATCATCCAAATGAGTTGCTGTGCCACGTAAGGCTGTGTTAGTGTATGTCCCGATTGTTGACTGGAGACTGATGCCATTCCAGGGAATGGGGGATCGGGAGGTAACCTACCAAGCAACCAATGACCGTGGGCAAGGCATTGATCTGCTCGACGCTGTATTTGGGATGCCCATTCTCTTTCAATGTTTTGAGCCAGAGTGCCATCCAGCGTTGCAAGTTGACGGCGCAGGTCAGTTCAAGTGTCCTGATAGTGTTAGCTGAACACCGTCTTACAGCGGGCAACACCGCCGCAGGGAACAAGAGATGGGACGCACCCCCAGGCAATGCAAAAGCCGTACGGCTGCCAGCACTTGAACAGCTGGGCAAATGTCCTCCAGCTCCAGCGAACCGGCTGTGAGTCGCGGTCTTCTTCTGCTAGTCGTTGGATGCATCGCTGCCTCTCACTCTCCGTCATCCACCACATGCGCTTAGCCTTCGGCTCATCTTGACACAGTCGTGTTAGTGTTCAAATGTTTGGAGCAGCACCAGCGCCCAGGCTATGATGAGACTTACCTGGGCAAACGAAGAAGCCAAGAACTGCGATGGGTATGCTGATGATGAAGTCGAAAATAAACAGCCAGCGCCACGCCGCGAGTCCAAGTCGGTTGTTCATGTTATGGTACCTGGGATGGCACTGGTCAGAGCCAGTCGCTGAAGAGAAGGGACAGATGAAACTCACAGCCCGGCCTGAATATACCCAGAAAGCATCAGGCCGCCAATAGCGGAAAAGTAAAAGAGAGCCGTCCGGCGCGCGATCTCTGATTTGCGATACCAGCTCCCAATCTGACTCGCTCGTTAGCCCCTCGTGCCCAGACGCATCACAGACTCGCGATGACGGGAAGTCGCAGAGCTCACAATGTACCATGCTCCAGGCAAGACTCCCGACTCAGCCAGACCGCAAAAGAAGCTGGCAATAATAAGCATTAGGTCTCCCTCCAATGCAAAAGTCGTCGCTTGTTCTGCCGTCTCACCGTAGGATGTATAGCGTTTTCACGTCCGCCGCCTTGTACATGCAGAGGACGAACACTGACCAGACCACGGTGCACGCTGGGAGCCAATATCGAGGTTGGATCACTGTGAGTGCAGTGGTCGTAAACGGGCTTCCGATGATGATGCCGATGTTGAAGAAGGTGGACAGCCAATTGAGCTCATTTTGCCCTGCGGTCGCGGTCAGTACATATGGACCGTCGGACATTTACATCTCATTGCCAGGCGCAAGTTATACGTACTTAGGTTGAGGTCCTCCTTCATTCCCGAAATGTAAGCATTTGTGATGTTTGTCTGGTCCAAGTACTTGACGAAAAAGGTCTGTTTGTCATTTCTGGTCAGCACATGTCCGCGCGTTGCGCCCCAGGCCAAGGCGCAGCCGAACGGCGAGACTCCTTGTCACTAACCAGGCAAGTGTACGTGAGGATGAAAAAGTCGAGCTTGAAAAGAAGCCATTTCTCTTCTTTGGTAGTGCCCGGCTCGTGCCAGTGGAACCATCGCCTGGCGGGAGGGCGGCGCTTCGGACCGCAGCACGGCGACTTTGGTAGCGGCCGGTCTGTTTGCGCGACAATCGTCTTCGCCGCGGAGGCCATGTTGCTGTCCTGGGACGGCGTGCTGGGAGGCGAATTCTCCGGCGGTGACAGCACCATCCTTCCGAAAGTATAAATGCCGATTTATCGCTCACCGAATGCTGAACGTCAATTGACACGATGTGATGCAGCACAACTTCAGAGACACCGCTTCTTGCGCCTGATGAGTCGCTCGTCGCTCTCGCGGCTTGCCGAGTGTTATAACGGGCATCCGTACGATCGGAGTTGAGGTCTCCATGCTGCACCTTGAGGACCATTCGTTGCCGTCTTTGCCGTCACGAGCAAGTTGTAAGCCAGTCAACCGTTTGGCAGCATCTGATAACGCGCCGCGGTGGACCCGAAGTCAAAGTAAAGGAGTTTTGCACGTCGGACGTGGCCAAAGTCATGCCATAGCACAGCGCGGTACCCGCCCGAGGGAGTGGTGGCGGCAACTCAAATCCGGCGATGCTTGGCCCTCAAGGTGCGCGCAAAGGCTCAATTAGTGGATAAGAATGCGAGCACTGCCACGGACTTGACCAAATGGGTTCAATTTCAGGTACCAGATAGCCGACGGTCTGCTTCAACTTGGGCGCATGGGAAATCGTCGATGCGGACGTCGAAGAAAACTAGACCGAATCGCTGCTCAATAGTGCCCGAAGACCGTTGAAACTAAACTTGACCGCGGATGTTCCCGAGCCAAGCGTCTTAAGTGCCTCATTTGACTGCCTTCAATTCCTGAGCTGGACCCTGATAGACCGCAAAGTCGTCTTCTCCCCGAGCCCAAACTGCCCAATCGTGCCACGCCTGATGCGACCTGGTGCACGTGGCGACGCGTAGCACCCTGTCGCATTGCCAAATCTGGCCACAACCTGCTCTGTCTCAGGCTTCACATGATGGTTCTGCTATGTGTCCGCAATAGATGCAGGAGCGGTCTGCCCCGTGCTTTGCTTGACTAAATGCGGACCTTTGGATCGCCGTCTATCGCGACACGCTACACTTTTGCGTCGAGCATCAATCACGTTGTGCACCGTTAGCCTCGACGGCAATGAAACAGCATTCTATAATCCGTGGTCTCTCCAAATGCCCTACACTCAAAGCACTTTTCGCCGGATGCACCTTCACCCTCAAGCCATCGCCCTCGCAAGAAATTCACTGACACCCTTGGCGGACGGCTCGTTCAACATATTAAAGTGATGAGCCCCGTGAAGCCTCTCAATGGTCATGTTCTCGTGACCGACAAGCTGATCCCAGCCATTCGGCCCGAGCACCGAGTCCGACCTGCTCCTCAGCAGCCACGGCACATTTGGCGGGTCGCTGGGAAAGATCTCGATCGACCCGTCTGCTGCTACTCCGTCAGTGGCCCAAACCACCCAGGTCTTCAGCTGACTTTGGCCAGCGCCGCTGGTCTGGAAAGGCAGCGGCTCGTAGGCGTGCAGCATGTTGTTGAAGCCCTCGAAGTGGTGCCGCAGCCACTCAGGCGGGCTTCGGCCAGCTGTACCAAACACACCCAGCCTGTTGAAGTCGTCAAAGAGCCTGAAAGGCAGCTTCTCTAGTCCAATGGGATTCGGGCTGTCAATGAGGATCAGTCTCTCGACAGTCTCTCCCTCGTCAACCAGGCGCTGCGCGGCGAGAAAGGCGCAGGTGCCTCCGGCAGACCACCCGCCAAGGTAATACGGCCCGTGAGGCTGTCGACGACGCATCTCGACGATGTAAGAGTCGACCAGGTCAGCGAAGGAGTACTGGGACATGCCATCTGTGCGCTTGACAAATGGGCTGCTGAGGCCGTAAACGGCAACGTTGCGAGTGTCGACGTCGGGGAGGGCAAGGTACGATGTCGCAAGCCCAGAGCCGTCAGCGACGAGCCAGAGATTCTTCACGGCTGTGGTTGGATAGCCTTGGAGCAGAACGGAGGTCGCCCTGATCGCAGGGCCAGAGGGCTTCTCATGCACGACTTTGACAATGTCGCCTATTTTGCCTTAGCGGATGATACACATGCGAGTCACAAGGGGCGTTTGAAGACTTACTCTCGCCAGCGCTTGACACTGGTGAAGCGTCTGCATCATCAGGCCCGTCCAACGTGCCACTGCTCGACGGTGGAGTTGTTGGCGCCGAAGACTCGTCAACGGAGGGCGCCGAAGTTCCTGTGATGCGCTCAATCACCTCTTGCACGGTGATGCTCTCAAGGAAGGCGGTAGAGTCAATCGTGGCATCAAATTCTTCGCGGATGCGATCCGATATCGTCAGCGCCAACAGCGAGTCGACACCGAGTGCGACGAGATCATCGTCATCCTTGAGCTCATTGAGGGGCACCCCGACCTCGTCAGCAAGCAAAGCCCTGATTTTGGCGGGGACGTCGTCTGTCATCGGGGCTTTGGCATCTGCTGCACCGGGCGATTGAGCGGCTTCACGTTCCACGGGCGCTGCCTTCTCGACTGCGCGTGGAGCGTCTCGCGCAACCTTCTCGTCCACCTTTGAACCGGTCACTGCACCGGGGCGCGGAACGAATTTCTCAAAAATCTTACGACTGACACAGTTGAACACGACGCCCTCGTAGATGCCGGCAATCTCCATGTGCGAGTCGAAAAAGTACAAGTCTCCGGAGTACGAGACACCGTCGTCGGTCTCCATCTTGACGTATGTCCTGTACGTCTCGTTCGGCGACAACTCCTTCAAGAATTTGACACTGCTCCAGCCATGGTTGATGTAGACATTGTTCTGACAGTCGAGCGCGTCGTTCCCGTTCAGCGAGAAGCCAGTAATCTGCCCCAAGCTCTCGATCCAGTAGGGCGGGCACGTCCACTTGTCGCCCTCCCCGGGCGCCGTGTTGAACTTGACTCTAGCGGTGCATTCGAGGCCAGAAGAGTTCATAATGACCTCGCGAATGCCCTTGAACGGACTGTCGTACTCAACAATGGAGGTAAAGAGCTTGTAAAAGAGCCCGGGCTTGAGAAGGTGAACCGAGTCGTCGTCCCCGTGGACTGCCTGCTGCAAATGCTCAATTCTCGACTTGACGAGGAAGTCACGTCGCTTTAGTTCCGTGATTCCCTTGGCCCTGCTAGTGAAAGTACCAGTGCACCTGACGTTGGTGGCTGTGACTTTGCCCTCAGCTGTGATGCTGCACAGCGTGAAAGTGGCCGTCTTGCTCGGCCAGTCTGCGGTGGCCTTCAACTCGATGAGTTGAATAGGGTCGTTGGTCAAAAGCAAAGTCTTGTCAGCAGCCATGTTGCACACGCTCACGCAAAGGTCGCCCTTGTCAGAGAGACTGGAGCTGTCGAGCAGGCGGGAGAAGAGCGTCAGCGCCATGTCGGCGTATGCTGACGACGGGCACATTGGGCGGCCATTGACTCTGTGTCCATTGAGTATCGCCAATAGATCTGGGTATTTGACGTTTGAACGAGCCGTTATGGACGACGCACTGGGAGAGCTCTTTTCCTCGATGATGTGATGAACCGATGCTGTAAAGATCTTCTCAGGTTCCTCAATTGCCGGCGGCAGGGCAAGCGACGCGCTCGGAGGATCTCCCTTGGTTAGGCACCAATCATGCCTGTACTGAATCCAGAATTCCTTCAGCTCCCATTGATATGCCGGAAGACCAATGACGGAGACTGAGTTCTTGAACCCGCTGTGGTATTCGCTCCAGTTGATCGACAGACCGCACTCATACAGCGACGTGAGCGTCGCGACAAGCACCTTCCAGTCATCCTCGCCGCGCCTCAAGCTCGGCAAGGCTCGAACCTTCGGGCCAAGTATATTCTTGACCATGTTGGAGCAGATTGGATGGGGACCGACTTCAATCCAGATGGTCTTCTCAGACACTATGCCTTCCTGACTGCCTTCCAGGATCGCCTCGGAAAACTTGACAGGCTGTCTGCAGTGGCTCGCCAAGTACTCTGCCGGAGACCCAAAGTCTGACGACTTCGTCATGACCTTGCCCTTTGACGATGAAAGGATGGGGATGGCCGGGTCCTTGAAAGTGACGGATCGGCATGCCTGGCGATACGAGTCGAGCATCTCGTCCACCTGGGCTGAGTGGAAGGCAAACTGCACTTTCAGGAGTGTCCCCTTGACACCAAGCTTCGACAAAGTATCGGAGAGAGAGCTGATGTCACCAGTGGTCCCTGCGACAACGGTTTCAGACGGCCCATTGATACATGCGACTTCCAAGCCGGGACTCGACTCGATGAGGGAACCCACTTGCGCAAGAGGTGCTTTGATGGCGAGCATGGCGTGCGTCCCCATTGCGCATTTTTTCTCAAGCAAGACTGCCCGAGTGCCGACGATGTGTATTGTGTCCGCGTCGGAGAGAACGCCGGCAGTGTTCAATGCGGCATACTCGCCGAGGCTGTGGCCAACGACGGCCACAGGAACAATACCCAGCAGCTTCCAAAATTTGCCGAGCGCCATCTGGAGGCATGTTATCGACAGCTGAAGCACGGCCGGTGGAAGGTCCTCCATTGGAGTATCGCATGTCCTGTTCAAGATCGGGATGATAGACTGAAAGCCCTGGAGGCGGAGAATGTCGTCCAGCCCCGTAATGATTGACCGGAATTGTGGGATGTCGAACAACTGGCGGCCCATACCCAAGTACTGCGAACCTTGCCCAGTGAAGCAGAACGCAGACGTTGGGCTCGCCGCAGCGGTGGAGAGATAGCCTTCCTTGGTCTCGGCCCCTTCGAGGGCCCGGCGGATCTCATCGATGCTCGTGCCGGAAACCATGGCCCTGAATCCATACTGCATGCGTCTCGCGGTGGTGGTGTAAGATAGCGACGGTAGGCTCGTCTCATAGTGAGCTCCCAGATACTCACGCAGGGCGCGGATGTTGCTCTTCAAAGCTGTCTGTGTCTTGGCCGACACCGCAACCACGTGCAGTGGTCGCAGATCGTCCACCGAGGCGCTCTTCAACGGAGCATCCTCAATGAGCACCGACGAATTGCCACCCGCGGCACCAAAGTTGTTAACAAACGCCCTTCTCCCGTACGCCTTGTCCGCTGGCCTGGGCCAGGGTGTCGGCTTCAGAGCAATGTGAACGTTCCGCTGCGTCAGGTCCGTCGGAAACTTTCGGTTGATGCGCGTCTTGATGCCCACGTGCGGAGGAATGACATTCTTCTGCATCATCATCAAGACCTTTATCAACGACGAAACTCCCGACGCTGATTCGGCGTGGCCGATATTTGCCTTCGTGCTGCCCAGGTGCAGAGACTGTGGCCGTCGCACGCCCGGCTCCGGGTTGAACACGCTTAGCACGGAGTCCATCTCGCAGGCGTCGCCGTGCTGGGTTCCTGTGCCATGCATCTCGACGTAGCTCACGTCATTGCTGTCAACGCCGGCGCCGGTCATGATCCTGCTGAATATGGCTCGCTGAGCTCCCGAATGCGGTCTCGTCATGGACACAGCCTCGGCAGAGTGATTCGTGTACGCGCCAAGGATGGTGCCAAAAATTGGGTCGCCGTCTAACTCGGCATCTTCAAGGCGCTTCATGATGATAGTGGCAACGGCTTCTGAGCGGCAGTATCCATCGGCCCCGTCGTCGAAAGTATTGCAGTTGCCTGTGCGCGACAAGAAGTGAGCTCTGTCCAGTCCAGCCCAGTTGTCCGGGTTGGTCAGGATATTTGTACCGCCGGCGATGGCCGTGTCGCAGTCGCGCTGCCAAAGGCTCGTGCAGGCTAAATGAATGGCGGCAAGACTCGACGAGCAGGCTGTATCTACATCGAAACTTGGTCCGCTGAAGCGCCACTGATAGTTGATGCGAGCGGGGAGGAAGGCGCGACTTCCTCCTGGAACGAAGTATGTGTCGACGTCCTGTCCGCTGTTGCACTCGCGGTAGTCGTCACTGGCGGTGCCATAGAAGACACCGACACGGTCCCGTCGAGACGACGGCGTGGCATCTGGGACGAAGCCAGCCATCTCCATGGCCTCATACGCCGTCATCATGGCGAGACGTTGCGCGGGGTCAGCTTGCTCTGCTTCTCGGGGCGAGAGGCCAAAGAAGCGCGCGTCAAACAGCCACGGAGCTTTTACAAAGCATCCCTTTGTGACTCCGCTCGTATTCTTCTTCTTGCCGGTGGGATCGTAGTAAAGCCACGGGTCAAAGCGGGTTTTGGGGATCTCCCTGACGACGTCGAGGCCAGCGAACAAGAGATCCCAAAATTCGTCGTTGTTGTCGGATTCCGGGTAACGACCAGAAAAGCCTATGATGGCTATTTTTGACCTCTTGGACTCTGGCACGCCCGCCGCTGCGGTGTTGACAAGTTGCACCGCTTTGTCCCCGGCGCGGCTCAGGGCTGCCACAAGGCTGCCAACACTGCCCGAGGCGAACGGCAGCACAGAAGCTTCCGACGCATCGGACTTCGACAGAACGGAGGCTGCACCCTCCGTGACAAGATCCCACCGTAACTGCTTGGAGACGATTTCCCACACGGCAGCCTTGAGGAGGCTCTCGCATGATGTGCTTGTAAGTGGCTGGCCGTTCGAGTTGGATAGCACCAAGTGGCGCGGAACTCTGGTCAGGAGGTGGCCGGCTAGCCGTCCAATCTCTGCATCTATTTCCGAAACCGCGTACAAGAGTGAAGAGTGGAACAGGCCACGGACGGGTACCTTCACGGACCGGAAGGTCGAGTGCTCGGAGCAGAAGCGCTGCAGTTGCTCTTCGGGCCCAGAAAGTGTGACACTATCGTGGCCGACTGCACTGACATAGATGCTTGTCAGGTTTGACAAGTGATGCTTCTCGCAGTACGTGCTGACAAGTGTAGATGCTGTCTCCTTGTCGACGCCACCTAGTACTGTGGAGTAGGACGTTGATCGACCAGGGGGAGCTGCGATCAAGGACAATGTCCTTGTCTCGACCAACAGTCCGATATTGAAAGCCAATCGCACAATCTCGGGACCAATTGTGAGAAGCTCGACAATGTTCCTCGAACAGCTCACGGCGGCCGCGGCAAGAAGTCCGATGCAGCTTCCCACGACGCAGGTAGACTCTGGCCGGGGATACTCGGCAAGCTTCTCTGTAGCATGGCTAATGAGAGTTAGCAGAGATGCTAGTACTTGAGCCATCATGACACTCACACCAGGAAGGCTGCGATCTGATGCAAGCAAGCCAAGGCACTGTCCAGGGCACAATGGGGAGAGGATGAGGCACGATGAGCAGACAGTAACTCTGCCAAAGTCGACGGAGCGGGAAACTGAGTTTGTGTACTCAAGGGGAGCTGCCCAATCTCCCCTCTCAGAAGACGGTACGATTCGGCAAGGAACGCGGCAAGAACATGATTGTCTTTGCGCGATATGAGGGACCCAAGTTCGGAATGGAAAGGGGCTGCTTGGTCCCCGAAGACTATGAACCGAAACCGTTGATTCTCGTCCATGGTGATTCTGACCATAATAAACACAGCCGAATGTTAGCTCCCATTCAAGTCAAATGATATTTTGAACGTCTTGCTTACGGTTGCGAGGGGGAAGATGCCAGAGATGATGACAGAGTGAGTGATCGTCCCCTATTGTCAGAGAATGTAGCGATGGAACACAACTCCGGCTTCTGTCTTAGTAGTGATACGATCACATGAATGGTGACCTCGAGCTGCTCCAATACGTTCCTGAAGCGCCCAGAGCCTTCGATTATATATATTTTCACCCACCAAGGATCTAGTTTCAAAGCTTCCGGGCACATGTTCTTCTTTGGCTGCTGTCTGAGTTCCATGTACACAGTACCTCGTACTTCGTATCACTCCATGATTGAGCAATCCACCAGAAATCTGAAGCCACCTGTAGCATCGTCGGCCGCTCCTTGCTCGATCAGCCTTCACTCTCGCTCACGCCGAGGCCATACAGTGCCTCGAAGCCTCGGACGGCTTCCCGGTGTAGTCAGTGCCGGACGCCGCAACTGGCCGGGATCATATTGGACCTATGGTACGCGACCAGCGGCGCAGCCGGCATGATGATGGAGTCAAAGGTGCCAGCTTGGAGTATCCACCTTCAGCCAGTATCGAGGCATTTCAGCGTTGAACCTAAGTTCCTGCTGAGCTGTTCGTGGACGTTCGCCCGACCAAGCACAGGACCCATGAATCGTGCCGGCTCCTGGGACGGCACAGCTTGTCAGCCACAGATAAGCACCCCATCCAAGCTGCGGTGAAACAGCACCCACTGAGACTTCTCAAACTGTCGGTACTAGTCAGACTGTGGCCGACGTCATATTTGCGGCCCTGATGTATCCGACATGCATCGACAGGGTGCGGAAGCTGACCACACGGCACCACAGCTTCACGCTGCAGGCTTGTCAAAGCCGGAAGACTTCCCCTTTGCGCCACAACGCCCAGTCCGTGACAGCTGAGACAATCATCCCTGCTAGTTGCAGCATGCGGACTGACTATCTAATTAAGCATACGGAGATCTGTCGGATACGCCCCTTGTCACAGCTTGCTCAACTTGAAATGCCCGTGTCTCGGGGTGTTTCTTGACTTTGAGGCTGAAGGCTGGACCTGTGTAACCGAGGCGTCCACATGGAAGCGCTCGCAGCGTTCCGACGAGCATGGCATTGGGCAAGATATGTGATTGCCGTATCGGACTCCCCTTGTCACATCTCACGGAGTACCGAGCCTGAAGCCTGCCGTAAACTCGTTCCTTGAGATCCAACGCCACCTGTGTCCAAGCTCTGAGCACTAAGAAATCAGGGTCCTGAGCAATGGGACGACACCAACTGAAAATTTTCGCAAACACGGCACATACCATCGAGGAGTAGAAGCAGTGGATGCAACCCTTGCAGGACGTCATCTGAAGCTGCCCATTCCGTGGTGCGGCCTGATGATACAGCTTGTACAACGGGCTGTCCTGGTCCAGGGCATCGCATATCAGCCAGCCCCTGATATGGCAGAGCTGCCTTGTGATGATCTGATTCATGCTTGAACTGGTAGTACCCATGTCGACACAGTAGGCACCGTCCGGCTTACACGGCATGAGACTTGCATATCCTGAGCCAGGGCACACCGTGAACGGACCTTTGAAGGGATCCAGCTGGCACCATTGTTGTATGTGGACATGAGGTGTGGCCCCAATGGCCGATGGGCGGCACAGGTCACGACCAAACGTTGACTCACCTGGGAGGCAGGGGGGCCATTGGATGAAGAATTAACTTAGGGCTCGGCATGGGAATGTGCCGCTGCCAACTGCGTGATTTTGAGAGAGGCAAGGTAGAGATCTCGAGTGGCTTGCAGTACACATTGCACTAGCTTCATCTGTGTAGGCCTGCCTTGACATGGACACACGAGATGAACATGCAAGAGCCACGCCAAAGGGGCGTTTCTTGCAGTTCTCCAAGGGCACTGTGATGCAGCTTATAACGGAAGTGGAAAGAAAATGGTGAATATTTGACACGTGTCGAGGCGAATGCATGCAATCGTGGACAAGGCTTCTCCTCTAACCGCCAATGGGCCGGCGGTCAGTCCAGTATGCCCCCCAGGATGCGGATATATCCCCCTGATGCAAGTACAACATCAAGCTGATGCTCAGCCTTTGCCGATTGCCCGCTCATCGTCGCCTCTATTCACTCTCACTCGAGCAAGTTCCAGTCCTACCACCCATCATCAATCTTGGAAATATTGTCGTCAGTTGCATCAAATCAACATGGACGCTGGCAAGAAGTATCTTTGTCTCCACATTCTCGGCTTCAAGAAGTCGGGCGTCTCGTTCGCAGACTATCGTGACTACATGGTCAACGTTCATGCGCCATTGGTCCGCGACCTCCTGGTCAAGTACGGCATCGTGGACTGGACAATGGTCAGTTCATCCTGTCAGTTACAGTGCCGGCAGGAGACACTTCCCTGCAGATCACAACGTCTTGCACAACAAGTCGGAGTGCATACCGGGTCATCTTTGCATTCGATGATCCATGCTGACCTACAACAGACGCATGCGGATGAGAAATCTCCGGACATGTTCGATAACATTCGTGATGGACTTTTCAGCAACTTCGCGCCATTCGATGTATGCGTCACCATCGTCATGCCTGACATCGAAGCCTTTCTGCGATTCAAGACCGATCCATTCTTTCAGGGGGATATTGAGCCGGATCATGACAAATTTGCAGATACGCGGCGATCTCAGATGCTTCTTGGTTGGCACACGCCTCTGATCAAGGACGGAAAGGTGGTTGTGCAGCCACTAGTCGCCTAAAGAATCTTGCTACCACATGTACATCCTAGACGGGACGATGACGGTGAAAGTGAGGTACATTGTATAGGAACCAAAATAAGACACCGTCCACATACTCTGACTACCGGGCTAAATGGGCCATGATCTATTACACATGTATATCGTAACGAGCAGAGATGGGCTGACTGGATAAGCGAACCATCAAAAGCCACCCTCGGAGTTTTCCTACCCTCCAAAGCCACCACAATCGTTGAGCCTACTTTTCCCCAAAGATCTACCCTGTATAATCGCGTCCCGTCAGTCTTCAAATGGCTTGTGGTCCGAACCCTTGATGCTTTTCCACTCCACGAATAAGCCTCCGAAAATGGACAACACCGCTACCCCGACAGCGACATAAAACACCGACGTGAGCGACTTGTTGTTGTAACGGTCTCAACTCAGTGTATTGACAACTAGCTGAGCGACTGCAACGAGTATCCTAAAGCTGAGGAGAAAAGAAAGGAAGAAGAAAA